GAGGAGGAGGAGGAAGAGCAGCAGCAGCAGCAGCAGCAGCAGCAGCAGCAGCAGCAGCAGCAGCAGCAGGAAATCATGATGATGATGATGGCGATCATTAGAACAGAGGAGACGAGCGGCATCGGGGAAGGAGTGAAAGAAGGGAGGAGGAGAAGGAGAAGAACAGAAGGAGGAGTGAAGAGGTGAAGGAGGGAGGAGCGACAGAGAGCGGAAGTTACCTCCGAATAACAAAGTGGTTGTCCTGATCTGCTGATATGATGATGACCGACGATCGTCTCGATCAACCAATAGCTGACAGCAGACTGGTAGATGGCACGTAGCAACCAGACGCTGAGATTATGTCAGGAGCAGCAGACACGAGTGTGCTGGAATCCAACGGGTATGAATGAACACAACAAACACTCCCTCTCCCCTCCTCTCCCACTCCCCTCCTCTCCTACTCCCCTCCCCTTCCTCTCCCCTCTCCTCCCCTCCCCTCCCCTCCCCTCCCCTCCCCTCCCCTCCCCTCCCACTCCACTCCATCCCGCCCCGCTCCGCTCCCAGTCATCTCGCGGCTCGGATGTTGAGCCTTCTGCTACCTTGCAGTCTTGAGGTTCATGAGTTGCCATCTCGATCCGCAGACGTACAGGCTCGGTCGCTGCTGGGACGTCAGCTCAGCCTCTCAGTCGCTGACATGCTCACCTGGAGCGCAACGGTCATCGGCATCGGACGGTTGAACGCGTAGAAGCAGATGGGGATGAACAAGAGGGCGTTGCCTGCAAGTGCTGTCAGCGATCGAGATCGTGCAGCATCCCACGCCCGGTGTCAGGAACATCGCAAGACATCTGAAGGTGAACAAACAAAAGGAACATCGCAAGACATCTGAAGGTGAACAAACAACTCCGAAGAGTTCCTCCATCAAGAATTCATCATCGTCATCCGCGCATGTTTCACTTCCGTCCGGTCAAGACTCACATGCTGCGATGCTGAACGGGTCGTACATGCTCGTTCCTCCAAACCCCGAGAAGTAGGCGAAGAAGACCTGGAAGGACCGCAAAATCATTGACGCATGGCGGCTGTTCCTCTCAACCTGCCCGAAACAGAACGCCCAGGACTTGAAGAAGGAAAGTTGAGCAATGAGCGCGCTCCTCTGTGAGATCCACCAAGTTAGCGAACGAGCTCCAGTGTCAGGCAACAAACGAGCTCAAGACGGAGTTGATGTGAGGAGGGAGGTACGCAGAGCAACTGCGATGGGACGGGTGCGACGATCTATCGCACCTGGTATGAGAATGTCCCATGCAACAAGAACAAGCGGCGAATGTCGCGGAAGTAAACGACGGAGACGTCGCAGGCACGAACAGCATGCGCTCCCTCCCTTCCTATGATGCCGATCCCAAGATGAGCGGTCTGGTACCATCGGTCATCACTCGTCTTCCTCCCCCCCTCCCTTCCCCCTCACTTGTATCATCGCGACGTCGTTTGCGCCATCGCCGATGGATGCAATGACAGGCTGGGAGAAATTGCACGTGTAAGACAAGAAGCGAGAGAAAGAAGAAACAAGACCACAATGATAGACGACATCACTGACATCGAACAAACTTACTCTCTTGCGGATGATAGGAGAAATCCTGTTGAGGAATCGAGACATTCTCAAGCGTGTCTGATGGAAAAATCTTGTCTTCCCACGCCCACCCGCATCTTGATCGACCATGGATGAGAACTCCTTCTTGATCAGAGACACCAGCTCCTGCGACAAGAAAAGACCTCAATGCTGACATTGCCGTCCTCCCTTCCTCCCTCTTCGCTCCCCCCACTCCCCCCTTCCCTCCCTCCCTCCCTCCCTCCCTCCCTCCCTCCCTCCCTCCCTCCTCTCTCCCTCCTCACCGCTTTCTGGTCAGGTGTGAGACGGCAGCAGACGACCGAATCCAAACTCAACGCGCAGTGCGTGAACTTCATCTTCTGACTCTCCGACATGGCGGACAAGCAGCTTCCCGTGATCAGAGCCGACACTCCACACGCGTGTTGCCCGCCGCCATTGAGGACGCTCTTGACACTGTGCCGCAAGTTCCCTTGCATGTTGACCTTCCCCAGCACGCCGCCAGACGAGCTGGACGAGTTTGCAGAGCAGACTTCTTGGATCTGCTGGAGGGAGGCCTCGACCTGCGCCGGGACGGAGAAAGTGACGACTGAGGCGTTAGGCTGAAGGAGCCCCGAGGAGATGGCGATCTGATAGGATGACGCAGGTCAGAGGGAGGAACAGAGGGGCACGCGCGGGACGTTTGGGAATGATAGAGAGGGGGTAGAGGAGTGAGTGGAGAAGGGAGAAGAGAGTTGGAAGGAGACGAGCAAGAAGAATCAGCAATTCAAGGCACGAATTCGTCAGAGTTGAAAGAGGGAAAAGAAGAGAAGTTGGAAGGGGACGAGCAAGAAGAATCAGCAATTCAAGGCACGAATTCGTCAGAGTTGAAAGAGGGAAAAGAAGATCTCGTTCAGGGACCTGTTTGGCCGTTGACAGCTTATCGCCTGTCACCATCCAAACTTTGATCTGAGCATCTCGCAAGCTCATCATCGTGTCAAAAACTCCCTCCTGCAGTCTGTCTTCGATCCCTGTCAACGGTCAAGGTCATTCTTGTCACCAAGACGACGGGGAGCACAACCTGTGGCTCCCAGCAGTTGCATGCCGCTCTCAAGCATCTCATAAGCTTGCAAGATCCGTGCCTCCCTGCCATCAAGCGAAGACACAAGTGAGAAAGACAAACGTCTTCCACTACTTCCCATCGCACTCTCAGCCGTCTCTCCATCTTCCGTGCTCTCCCCTCCCTTCTTATCACCTTCCCTGCAACGACGAATTCGCTTCTCGCAGCACTCCATTCTTCCACTCCTGCATCATGTGGCCTCAGCAATCTCTCGAGCATTCAGAGCTTCTAGCTGGACCTCGAACGTCTTCCTCTCGAGCCTCTTGAACGCGACCAGCAGCGTTCGCAGCCCCATCCTCGCAAAGTCGTCGATGTGCGCGACTGTCTCCTCCTCCAAGTGCCCCTGCAACGTTTGACAGCTCAGCACTCAAGACACAGCCCAGCTCACCCCCACCTGGTTGGGAGCGAGGAGGGGCCGCAAGACCTCATCGGCTCCCTTGGTGAACATGTAGAGTTTTTCCCGGCTGTCGGGGCCGTTGTCATAGCACCTCTCGAGCACGATAGACATCCTCTTGCGATCTGAGCTGAACTCCAGCTCACGGAGGATGCGATACGTCTCCACCTGCCCTCTGACTCTGATCGAGATCGTGTCTGTCGATCGGTCAAGCAGCGGGAACCCAAGGGCCCTCGCAGACGAAACCAGCGCATCTTCGTCGGGGGAGCTGGCTTCATACACGACCCCTTCGTTCTCATAGTCATTGGCTGCTTCCTCCTCCTCCTTCTTATTGCTCGCGTCTCCTTTCACAGTGGCGACTGTGTTGCAGAGAGCAAGAGCTCTCATGTAGTTGAACAAGCTCTCGTCCCCCCTCTCGATCGCCGCGATCAGCCTCGGGTCTGACTGCACCTTCCTCCTCTCGCTCTCTGCCGTTGGCTCCCCATACATCCTGCCGTTGATCGAGCACGCCTTGAGCGCCATCAGATTCTCCGTCAAAGTCCCTGTCTTGTCACTCAGGAGGATACCGACTTGACCAAGGTTCTCCGCGATGTCGCTGTTCCGCAGCGTCGCGCCTCCTCCTCCTCCTCGTTCAGCGTCTCGCTTACCCACCCGATCGCACTGAGACATGCCGAGGTCCCATCCGATCCACATGGAGTAGAGCCATTTGCAAGTGTCCATGGTGACTTGGATTGAGAGCGGGATGAGGGTAGACATCAGCAGGAGAAATCTCAGGGGAATCACCGCTGACTCATACAGGCTGAGCCCTTCCGAGCTCACGGCTGATCTAAGATACCATGCTCCCTCTCCGTGCATGCTCATCCATTGGTTACCCAGCCCCCCAAGGATGGCTGCAAGGATCGCCTGCCCAACAAACACGACCGCAGAGATGCTGTCGATGGCGCCGTCGAGCTCGGATCGCTTACACGCTGGAGGACGGCGGGATCGTCCGAGCCTCGTCTGGTTCCCTGTGTACAGGGCGATCCCACAGACCCATTCGGTGTTCTTCAACTGCGATCCTTGTAGCAGAGCTTGGGTCTCCCCGATGGGATACCCGTGCCGAGCTTCGCTCCTTCCCATCACGTCAAGGTCCATTTCCGCTTTGCTCTTGAGGACCCATAGCATTCCCTTCAGCTCGTGCTGAGCATCGTACGGCACCTCGATACAGTCGATCTCTGAGACGAGGCTCTTGATCTCCTTCAGCGATTGGGTCGAAGACAGAGGAGGGGTTCTGCGCAGTTTGAAGTCAGCTTCCCCGTCAAGGTTGGAGGTTTCGATGAAGCAGCATCCATCCGCGTGCGACGTTCCTAAGAGCATGATATCGCACGGGATCTCTTGATCCTGCCTGATCACCACAAGGTCGCCGACTGATATCATCTCTGCATCCAACTTCTTGAAGTCCATGTTGCCCTTGGCTTCGTTCCCTGCCGCACTCATCACCGTATACTGCCGGCTGTTGGCGGACCTGTCGGCGAGGAACCGCTGCCAGTCATCCGCCAGTTCCCTTATCGCCGTGAAGATGAAGATGATGGCGAGAGGGCCCCAGGTTGTGGCTGGATGGGTTGGGGTCAGATGCGGGTCCAGCTGCAGGATGGCGATGAACAGGAAGTATCGGTTCGTATGCCTCTCAAGTTGCTCGTAGAGGCTCAGGGGGATAAACTTAATGCACATCTCCCCGACGGTCTCCCCATACTTGGTGTTGCTCACCCTGTTCCTGCAATGCTGCGCCGACGTCGACGACGACAGCGGCCGCACCGCACGGCACCGTGTGCTCCCCGCACCCCGTTGGTTCGCTTCTTGCACCATGGAGGATACCCTGAATCCGTCATAGATCCAGCCCACACCGCAATGGCCGAGAGAGCAGAGCATGGACTGAGCTCCTTCATAGTCCCCGAGGTACAGGCGGTGAAGCCCCGCCCACCCCCCCACGAGCCAGCACAGGTAGGCTATCCACCACCTCTTGGGACCCTCAAGACCGTGGAAGGGTCCTTGGACTGCCTTGTTTGAGCTCTTCTCTTCCTCTTCCACGTCGTGGATGGAGCTCTGGTCCGCGATGAAAATCTTCTTGAGGTGACCTATCATAGCTCTAACGAGCATCAGCAGCTCGTTGGAGCTTCGGGTGTAACGACGATCCACAGGGCCTCAATCAAGTCATGCTGCTGCTCGTAATTAAAAAAATCTGACGGGGTCACAGCAGAGAGGGTTGTCCTGTTATCTGGAATCTGTACCTCGGAAAAGCAGGATTTTTAGCATTTGTATTGAGTGAACGCTCCCCGCCCAATCAAAATCATCACACCTGCCTTCAGCTTTCTGCTGTTTGCTGCCGAGATGTTCCTGTTCCCTTCCTTCTCTCTTCAACTCGTTTCACCTCTCCCTCTTCCTTCACCTCCTCTTCCGCCGCTACAATCCTCCCCGACCACCATGCTGCCAGCCCAGCTCGGTAATCTCATATTACCTTTATACCCTACCCTACCGACAATCGACACTCAATTCTTTTAGGGAAAAGTACCCCGTTCTATAGTAGAGATGAAGGGTACATGCTCCGCCCCACCACCCCACCACCCCCATGAAGTGCATATGGAGGCCGTTACCCGAATTAAGATTCCACCCGCTGCCGCAACACTGCCGCAACAAGCATATAACGGTTACAAGAAAAAAAAACTTCAAATTGAAACAAAAAACTGAATGGAGGTGTATTCAGGCAACCTGCATTCAGGGGTGGGTACTGCAGGGAGGGGGTGGTTTTGAAGAGAATTACACCCGTACTAATCCACTCTGGAGACCACCCCAGCAGTGCCATTCGATCCTGATGCACGGCCACCAAGATGCCGCCAGGTGGAGAGGGAGGGAGGAGGAGAGGAGAGAGGAAGAGGCTGAAGATGCTCCATGACGAGCAAGGTAGCGACTCGAAGACAGTAAGAGGGTCGGTAAGGAGAAGGATCCGAAACATCATTCGAAAGAACGACGAGAACGGATTCGAGCATAGCATACGTGTGGCATTCTGATAGTTCGGATGCTTGGACGGTCCTGAGAGCATGATGCGGAGAGGAAGGGACGTTATGCATCAAAGCGAGCGATCCCCTCGGAACATGAACAGCAGCCTAGCATGTTACAGCGCAGATGAAGATGAGAAGCAAGAGCGCAGGAGGAGCCGAAGTCAACCGGGCAAAGCTCGTGTGTCCTTGGATTTCAACGACACGAGGCACGGACCCAATACCCCGCGCCTCACTGGCCGTTCGCGATCTGCTCCCAAACAGCGAAACACGTTCCAGTCAGAGTTTGATCAAGATTACAAACAGATTTTGGCTCATCGATTTGCTTCCCAAAACGGAACACATGCAGGGCATGGGTATGGAACCATGGAAGAGAACAGGAAGGAGAAAACGTTTGACCTCTCGTTGGAACTGATGAGAGATAGAAAAAGAATCGCTTTGCACCAGATTTTGGATTCCGTCAAGACCGAGAAGACTAAGGAAGGCAAGAGAAAACCAAACAAGGTTAGCCCGAGAAAATCTCTCAATTCAAGCAACTCTGATTGTGAAGCGCACTTCGATCATCCCTCTGACAAGAATCTCACTTTCACATCACGATCGCCAGCCTCGATGGAAAGACATGTGGCGAACAATGATATCAATCAACGCTTCTCCTTCTCCGTACGCCTTTCCCCCGTGCATCTGCAGGAACCTTTCAGTTCCCCGAGGGAGAGACTGATCTATTCTACTCCCCCGTCACACCATGCGACAAGGCCTCTCTCCAGTGAAGATGTGAAATCCAGCAGAGAGGCCTCGACCCCTGCTGTATGCTCGGAAAGTCAGGTTCGCGATGTACAAAGTCTCCTGCAGAGACTTGAGCTGTGCATTCAACGAGATGAGCTGAAGGATATTGCCATATGCCTCAAGAGCATCCAGTTGTGGGTCACTGAAGGCAGCCATGGCACAGGCAAAGACATGCAAGCACGCTTAATTGTTTTGTGCAGAAACGGCTTGAATGCATTGATGATGCTGATCAAGTTCTGCATGACGAGATCCCATCCTGCTGATACCACTTCATCCAGATCAGGGAAATTCCAACCTGTGCAAGATGATCCGTCTGAGATTCGGCTGCTGATGATGGAAACCCTTCACACTTTGACTTCGATAGTTTCGACACCTGGAGCGATGGACGAGGTGCCCATAGATCAGTTCTCCCCAGTCATCACAGAAGCAGCTTGCTCCTCAAAGAGCTCTGAGATCTCTTTCACTGCCCTGCACATCCTTGCAAGTCTGTCGGTCAGAATTGAGGCGGCGGATTCTCTCGTTCAATCGGGTTGCGCAGAGCGCGTCTCAGATCACTTCCTCCGAATCAAGGACAGTGACTCGATACCGAGCTCTGTGGACGATAAGAGATGGTCTGCTCATGGCAAGGCGCTGACTCTGATGGCATTGTTGAGCAGTCACAGGAAGAACAGCTTTCTTTCAAGAGTGATCGAGAGGAACTCAGTTTGGTGCAAGGTGTTCGTTAGGATGTTGCGAGCTGCAGCAAAGTCGAAGTCGTTCGGAGGGAAGCCCTTGAACATGGAGCAGCTTCTTCTGGGCGCGAAGAGGATGTCGGCGAACCTGAGTATCGTGCCCAAGTTGTGCTCTAGCGGTTTCGTGCAGACTTGCTGCTTTGCGGTGGCGAGCTGCCTCGATTCTCAACCTCATGCAGCACAGCACGGCATTCATGCTTTGATTCACCTCTCGTATGACCAACAAGCCTCGCTCGAGATCCTCTCCGCTGGCCTTTGCACCATCTTGTGCGGCAGATTCTACGGCGTTGACGGGGCGTCTCAAGCGCTCGAATGTCAACCTTTCGACCACGACGGCGTGTCTGCAGTCCCCGACAAGACACAAAGCAGCAAGCAAGACTCTCCTTTCTTGCAAGATGACGTCGCCATGTTGCTGTACAGAGTCGTCGGGTCCAAGTCTGAAGTTCGCTCCTCCTCCAAGGAAAACATGGTCATGATAATCAGCAGCGAAGACAGCAAGACGACAGCTGAGAAGGTGAGCCAGAAGCTCGCTGCCTGGGGCTTTCGCAGTTTCCTCGGAGGATCTACTGGGATAATGGACTTTCGATCGTGTCTGTCCAACATTGCTCGATGCGCTTCCGTCGTGATCGTCGTGAATGATGGTACAGACATGTCGATGACTGTCAACGGCGCTAAAGTCTGTCCGATCTTGCAGGTCTTGTGCTGTGCCCGTGCTGCCGGACCCAAGTCGAGTTTGCCCAAAACATCTCGTCGCCGATCATAGGGATTATCGCGGGTCTGTGTTGGAAATCTCCCTCCCTTCCCACTCTGATCTCCCTTTCTCTACAGGGCCCGATCATTGTGTAGAAGGAAGCTGGATTGAGCAAGTTCTGCCCGCAGAAAGTTTGTTGAAAGAGCAGTCAGGGGGTCAACGAGAGGATGTTACTCAAGGCTACGCGATGAAGTACGATGAGAATCCTCTTTGAAAATGGTCTGATGGCAATCACAGAGTGCTTGTCAAGCATTTGTTCGCCATCATGACCATGACAGAGTTCGTAACGCATGATGCGATCAAAAAGAGTACGAGATCGTGCTTGCCCAACTGTCAGGAACTCACAATCGCATGCCGCAGGCACACCATGCCATCAACCTGTCCAGGAAGCAGCGCAGCCTGATGATCGCGAACCAAATCCGCTGCACAGAAAACTTCTTTACCTGATTCAGATCCAGCACAAAGCGCTCAAGGTGACGAGATTGTTGAATGCTCGCTGGGACTGATCGACTTTTCCAGGACAACAACCTTGTTACCGAAGAGATGAAGAAGGTTCTCAGCGATGTGAAATTAGAGTGTAAAGATGGCGAGTGGGCGGAAGACTTGCCATGTGTTTAAAAAGGAACCTATCACTTTGAGTCATCAATAAACTCCACTGTCTGACCGTCGTCCGTCTTTAAGAAAACCTTGTCGGCTGCCCCGTCCTTGGCAGGCACTTCCGATTCAGAGTGGAGCTGCCTGTCGTTCTCAGACGTCCTCAAGACTAGCCTCTGGACCTTCTGCCCTTCTCGCGCAAGCATGCTGTAATGCCGAGATCAGTAGAGAGCACAAGCTTCAACATACAACGTTTCCACGTTGACAGGACGATCTTCGAACCATCCAAGATTGTCGGCGATCAGGTGTAAACCTGGCAACTACAGTTAAGATAGAACGATCAGGTTCCTCTTCATGGCGCAAGAAACTTGTTCTTTGTCACACAATCTTTCGCCGTTCAAACGTATGCAAACGGCGACAAAATTTCTTGCGATAGAACTTACAATGATTGCCTCCATCTTGACGATTGCAACCGTCCTTCTGTTCAACTCGGATGATGACAACACCCTTCTCATATGCCTGCCATGCTGTGAGTACAGCTCACTTGACTGCTCATCCTTGTACCCTCTTAGAGAACGATCGGAACACTCTCGTTTCGCAAGTCTTGCATCTGCGCCTCAGGTCAGCCCATTCTTTCAGGTGAATCGCAAAGAGCACGTGAACGCGATCGCCATACGGGCTTTCTTGTACTCCTCATCCTCCTCTGCTGAGCTCTGGCTAGACCTCAACTCGCCAGCATTTTCGCCGGGACGGCGCTGGAAACCACCCTGCCAAGGCACCATGAGAGGGGTGTTTGTATAGGAGTGTATCTACCCCAGCTTCATGCATCCTCCTCAAGCTCTTCACGCTCATCGTCCTCAAGCTCGAGCATGCCATCGTGCTTCTCTCTTGCATCAGCAGCGCAGCCCCCTGCGCTCCTCTCCTGAATGAAATGGCCCCCAGCATATCGCTGCCTCAACCAAGTCCATTGGGAGACTAGTCATATCTTGGTGCCTTCTACCCTTGTATAGAACAAACTCTGAGGTGGATTCGAGACATGGGGCCCGGCACTGCGGCCGGCCGGGGCCGCGCCGCGCGGCGGGCCGCCGGGCAAGCGGCCTTGCCTGCCTGGCTGCCATCACTCAAACTGTTAAGTGAAGTTAGAGCCCGGAGTCAGCTGCCGAAGTTATTAACATTTTATTCTAATTCTCGTACTGATCTTTGACTTAACTTTGAGTAAAATTCAAAAAAAAAAGAAAAGAAAGAAAGAAAAGAAAGAAAGAACAAAGGCCAGCGATCAGTCAGTTTACTCAAAATTAACTTAAAAATAACTACCAGGGCAACGTACCACGGCGTAGAGGACCTCTAATACTTATGATATAGTAATCTTTTACTCAAAGTTATGTTAAAAATTACCTGGAGTCAGTAGATCATGAGATCCAAAAAGTGATTTAGAGTGACTATTATTCAGTACAAGTTTTAGTACCTGAACCACCTTTTGAGTCACTTTACCAGTTAGAAGCAAAGCAGCAAGCAGCGATCGTGGTCAAAGAAAGCTAATTTCCTTCGTTGCTACAAATCACTCCCATGAAATTTGAAGATAACGAATGCTTGTTTTCCAAATTTTAAATTTGGTAGGGTAGGGTAGGGTAGGGTAGTCATTTGTACTGTTGGGGGAAAGTGTGCAGTAAGGTGAACACCATACGTGCCATACCTGATACCAGAGCTGCTAGGACCAGATATGAATAGCATTCCGAGCGGACTGCGGCTTCACGCGCCAAGCCCACCCCTCCCCCCACCTCCTTTTTTCCCGGACCCCGAGGACGCAGTGACAAGTACCTTTAGTGAGTTTCAAAAGGCTACCCCCACCCCTCCGGCTCAGAGTCAGTAAAACGCCTATGAACTGCGTACTATACACCAATCCGATCGGATCTGTGCATGCTCAGTGAGTAGGGAGATCCATTCATCATGTCGCTTTGAACTTAGGATCTCATTTATAGAATACGTGACGTTCAATGGCGGACTTGGAAGCTCAATCCCTAAAGGTACCCCAAAGATATCCGACTTGCTCTGAGTCTGAGGTTTCACTACTCCTCTGACCTCTGGAAGAGCTGACAAACTACCCACCCCCAGTTTCCGAAGTTCACTATTTCAGTCCAGTACCCCTACCCACTACTTGCTCTGTTTCGACACTTTGAGTACCGCCCGCGCACGACGACCCCACCCTCAAAAACAATACGTACTGGCTGACTACCCATACTTTTTCATCAGTGAGTGGACTTGCACCCACCTGTCACTGCAGAAATGGGGGGGTATGAAGTACAACCCACCCTTGACAATTTGAAGCCTGAAGCGTGGAATAAAAATACAAAACAACGTCCCATCCTATTCGGACAGCACTGATTGCCACCCCCTACCATCACACAATCACCCCACCCCCCTTATGATAAAGCAACTTTCCCCATGGTATTTTTTCCCCAAATTTGACTACCCCTACCCACCATCCCCTGCCCCATCTGACCAGAATAGTGATACCCCGACCTGCTCACAAGTTTTGACTTGATCATAAAGGAGGTAGGGTTCAATACCCCACCCCTCTTATCTCATCATACTACCCACCATTTTTGATAAACTTCAAGTACCCCACCCAGTAATGCGTCGAGAAGTAAGGAATTTGAGTAGGGTACCTCTCATTGATGGAAGACCACCGGTATGTATCTGTACCACTTGCGCATTGCCCGGTGTCAATGCCACCGCTAGTGGCAGCTCACCGCGGAGCTTGGAATGATGCAGAGAGGGCGAAGAATACCACAAATAGTGTGCATGAGAGGAAGAAACATGTTTGATGTCCTCATGATGACTTTGGGTGTTTAAATACAACATAGGAGCCAGGGAAAGCAAGATGGGCTAACACCTGTAGAACAGATATTCGGTAACACATGATTTCATAATACCTGAAGATATGGGAGGGAAGGGACTTAGAAAGCCTGTTAGACGGAGAACAACCCCCACATGTTCATTACACCTTTTGCTCGAAAGCTTGTTTCTCTATGTTCATGGCTGACCAGTGCAAAGGAGCAGGTCCTGACTACAAAAAAGCATCGTTGCCGACGAAACATGATCCCTTTGCTATCATTGCAACAACTTTCCCAGAAGAGGAACGATGGCACAACCTTGGCGATGAATAGTTTGCTGCCCCTTACTTATGCTGGTGGAGGATTTGTTTGCTTGACACCAGACTCTATACCTGTCCAATTAGTACCTATCTCGATCTTGGCGCAACCAAACTTGTCTTCAAAGACGGATGATCGTTTCCCCTCAGTAGCTGAGCAAATGTGGATGAGTCAAGTCCCTATGGTTCTGATGGATGCAGGAGGCAATTTGCTGATGGAGCCTGACAAGCAGATGCAGAGTTTCGCTTCAGAGGTGTCTTTGGTCAATCGCGTTGAAGGTTCTTCCCCAAAGTCGCAGAGCGTCGGTCAAGACATGAACGCGATTGAGATCCCTGATCTGAAAGAAATTGTCAAGTCTGCGACCAAAGACCCTTCGGCATCGATCATCCTGAGTCGAGATCAAGTTACCAAACCGATCATTGCAACCCCACAATATCGAAGCAGTTGCACAGCAGGAATGGACTTGGCTAAGTATTTGGACCATTGCAACCAAGCCCAAAACAACATTGAAGCTCTGCGCCTCAAGGCTGTACAGATTTTTCACGAGAAACAAGGAAAGAAGGAAGTACAGGCCACTCCAGTTTCTTGCTGTGCAACCCCCTTGGCGCAAAACGCTCCTTCCTTTGCAAGCTTTCTCTGCAATGGCAATGGCAAAGCCAACACCTACGGGGGAGGGAGTTTTCAGAAGTATGAACCCAAGAAACCAGAAAGGGTTTCGGTGGAATGTAGCTACTGCTCAAGATCATTTGTTTCGATGCATGCTTTGGACGTGCACCTCTCAAGAAACCCGGTGAGTCACAGAATTCTTTTGGGTTCTTTGCTGATATACGCTCAAGACTTGCAAGTCAAAGAGGGATGCCACTGTCAGAGTATCCGTTTTCTCACAGGTTCATGAATTTCGAAACAAAACAGCCTGGTCTCACTTGTCAACAGATTGCAGCTGCTGAAAAGTCAAATGGATTAAACCATGAAGCGCATTTGATTTGCAAGCTAGAAGATCAAAATCATGAGTCAGTGTTTGCTTTTATTCAGTGCTCACAGCCTTTTGAAGCTGATTCTTTCAACAGATCAAGGCAAACCTCTACATGTGATGATGCAAGGAATAACCTTCCAAAGTTGGCTGCGATGACCGATGCCAACGACTCTACAGTACAGAAGGTTGTATATAATTGCGATATTTGTCGCACGAGATGATGATTAGTTACCGCAGTTACCCGGGACGAAATCAATTCTGCAAACGCTCGCGCATTTCGCAGAATCTCTTGCACCGATGGGGATGGGAAAACTGAGCGAGCAGCATCCATCGATGTTGCCGATGAAACGCAAAGCATGCGACAGCGATATCGTAGGGCAAGCTAGTGTCTCTATGGTAGCGCACGCCTCCTACATTGATAGTGAGGCACAGCCTGGGGTGGACGATATTTCGGCAGAGATGGCAGAAGAAACTCCGTCGGCCGTCTTGAAGAAGAAACGAACTCGCCTGCCTCCCATGGCTTCTATGACACGATTTGAAGAAGTTGTGTTGGATTTTCCATTTGACGTTCGTGCGGCTCTAGCGAGGATCCAGAGCCCTGCAGCCTTCTTCTCAACATGCAGTCTGGATATTTTCAAGAGACACATGAAATTCGGCAAACTGGGTAACACAACAATGTTTCGGGGCCTCGTGCATCTCATATTTGCTCAACAGGGGGTACTGTCATCAAAAATTACTTCACACTGCCGAGTGAATCGTTCGAGCCCATGATGCACAACCCTCTCAAGATTCCTGAATTTGAAGAGTTTGGAGTACAGATTGGGAGCACGGACTTCCAAGAACTCAAGGTTCGCACTTTGCTGATCACTCTGAAGCTCACTGAGTTCTGTCAATCCGCAGGTTTTCAATAGAATGCTCTTGTGCAAGAAGAGGTTCTTGGACATTAATCGTAGGGCCGTGAGCAAGCGTTCCAAGATGAAGAAATCGCTCGACAGAATTCAGATGAATCAAGCTCCTGTCGAGGATGGCAACTGATTTGCTGTGCAAGTATGGTGACACCCTTTTCTTGAAGGAGAAGAGCACTTCCTTCATGTAAATTTTTCCCTTTAAATTAGTAAATTAATCAGCGAGAGCATCCACAATGGAGTTCAACTTTTTATTTCTTGAGATCAATCATGTTTAATATCCTCCAATCACCTTGATGAGAATGGTAGGAACGAGGACGGAGAAGCCCAACAACTATGGTCTAGTTAGTTCCGCTGCATTCGACAAATTTGAACTCACTCCAGCTCCGACGGTGAGCTTCAAGGCATCAGGAAGCACGACAGGGTTGGCGAGAGCAGCACCGTAGATGTCATCAGTGCAGGCATCTCCAGGGGTGTAAGAGCGACCTGAATTACTGTCATCAGACAGGAAAAGAAATATATAAGGAAGAGAGGGGGAAGGGGGAGAGGCAGGAGGAGGAGGAGGAGAGGCAGGAGGAGGAGGAGGAGGAGGAGGAGGAGGACATCAGCAGATGAAGAGTTTCAGATGCACACCGTCCGGAAGGACAAAGGTGTCCTCAGGTCCGAATGGACCACGTCCCTTAGGGCCTGGGGGCATCCTGTCGGCTCCAGCCATTCTCACGCTGCTGAGAAAATTTTAGTTTGAAGTCTGCCTAGGTTTTGTCTCGATGATATGGTCTAAATGTTTTTGCACTTGCAAGGAGATTTGACACGCGGAACGTTTTTTCACAAGAAAGAGGGCGGAACGGAGAGTCGCACTGCGTGTGACGAGGATTTCCTTCGAGGGGGAACAAGACAAGCACAGCACATGGTCTGGTTGGTGGATACCTGATGGGAGCCTTGCGAGTTGATCTGAGAGCTGGGAGGGCAGCAGGGGCAAATGCGGAGACGCAGGCGAGAGCGAGGAGGAGGAGGAGAGCGCTTCTGAGCATGGCGGAGAGGCGGGTGCTGTGCGACAGTTTCCTAGAAGTGGAAATCATTGTGTCTAATATTGAAGCAATTTCGAAAATTGTTATAAAATATACAAATTACACTGAAAAAGTGCTGGTCAATATTCAAAAATACTTACTTACATGTATTAGATAACCCCTATCGGAATTCTTATGACCCCCTTAAACCAGCGACCCCCCTTTCTCTTAATACCTTCCATAAGATTTTCATCTTAGGGGTCTATATGCCCCAAATTTAAAGTAATTCTGCGGTTATGCTTCAAAACTTTCAAAGTATGCCCTTCTTGTCCTATGAGAAACAAGCGTGAGGAACCTTGAAATTTCAAAATGAGGTTGTTTGTCAACCTTCTCGGAATTTGATTTTTGTGAAACTCGTACTGGGTGGGGTGGGTCTGAGGGGGGTAGAGGGCCGGCGGCCATGGAGTGAAGCCTGACTCACGAGGAGCTGAAAACCGACCCGACAACTCGGTCGGCACCCGGCACTTCACCGTCGGCCCGGTGCACTACGGTCACTCAGTGAACGAGTGTCCGAGGTCACCCTGATCCGGGCCCGGAGCATCCGGCCGGGGACCGATCGAGTCCGCGCGGCGGCCGCACGGCAGCGGAACCGTCCGAGTCGGCCTGGGCCCGGGGCCGCGGCGTCCGATCCGACGTTCAACGCACTGCGCGGCCCGCGGGCCGGGCAAGGCCGGAACCGGCGTGACGGCCCGGGGCCTAGTTCGGAAGTTCTTCTTCGGAACTTCGGACGAACCTGGACGGTGGTCCCGATTTTAACTCAACTTTGAGTAATAAAACGAGGCCGTTGCGGGGTTCAAAAGCGGATGGCCATTAAAAATTTCGAAAGCAGGGCTTGCATTTTGCATTTGAAAACCAATTGCATAAAAGTTCTTTTTGATAGATCAAGTTTCAAATTTAAATCACCAATGCGGGGCTAATGTGAAACTGCCGGTACTTGGTTGGAAAATGCCTGTCTATGGCATCGGGCAGAATCATTGCGGCCAACTTGGGCCGGACATGCATGAGGAACGACGAGAAGAGGAGGAGCCTGGAGAGAAGAGGAAGCGGCTATGGTTTCCTCATGTCATGCGGCGATGGGCGCGAGTGCCATATGCAGATGAAGTGGAGAAGAGGGTTGAGGACTTGGAAGCAGGCTCAAGTGAAACAAGCATTGCCGCAGGCTCCGACTTCTCTGTCGTTCATGGACTCAGAGCAGGTGAAACTCGGACATGGATATGCGGAAACCTCGATCACAAGAGCTCACGCTTCAGCACTTGCGTGTCGCATGAGCTAAGAGAACTTTTGCCGTTGAGGGGGGTAAGGATAAATTCTCTCGCGTGCGGAAGAGCGCATGCAGTGTTGACGACGGAGGAAGGAGATGTGTGGTCATTCGGATGGAACATGTACGGTCAACTAGGGTTGGGCTTGCAATATGATCACACTCGGACACCGCAGCTGCTTGAGAGTCTGAGAGGGTGCGGTGCCGAGAAAGCTTCGTGCGGTGATTGCTTCTCAGTTGTTATCTCTGCGCACTCAGTCTTTTCCTTTGGTCGCAATGACTGCGGGCAGCTTGGAATAGGCTATTCTTCGCACACCATCGTCAGCCCGACCCCTCAAGTTGTCAAGATCCCCCAGCAATCCTCCATCAGGCCAAAGCTGCAAGATGTGGCGTGCGGAGGGCAACACGCGGTGGTCATGCTATCTGATGGTTCTCTCTTTGCATGGGGAAGGAACGAGGAGGGACAACTTGCTATCGGGAGTCTTGAGCCCAAGCTGATCCCAAGCAGAGTCGAGACGCCCTGGAGGGGGGAGGAGCGGGTGGTTCAGTTGGCTTGCGGTTTCAGTCACACAGCTTTTCTCACGTCCTCCGGCAGGGTCTTCTGTTCCGGTCAAGGGGATAGCGGACAGCTGGGCATCGGCTCCAAGTCAAACAGCCTTGTGCCCGCGTTGGTGCTGGGGATTGAGCGCGCCCACGTCGGTTCCCTCGTCTGTGGCCACAGCCACACGATGGTCGTGGACGCCAACGCACAGATGGCGTTTTCCTGGGGAAGTAACGCAACTGGTGAGCTGGGGCATGCGAGTTGCGAGGTCGAGTTTCAGCTGCTCCCGAAGCTGATGCTGGAAGATCTCAAGGAGGTTCGGCTGTCGGCTGTCGGCTGTGGCCCATGTGCTCGGCACACACTGTTAGCTTGCCGGCAGCGAATGCCATGGCGGCTGGAGAGGCTCTTATGGATCGGAGTTCTCAAGTGCGAGGCTTCTCAATGTCTTTTGGCGCTTCTCCCTCGTGACGGAATCGCGTCATGTCCCATCCTCATCCATATCTTAAGACTATTGCCCCTTCGTTTCTTCTTGTAGCGTCGGAGGCTGCTGCTGTTATCTTGTAACTTGTAACTGAATTAGATCAGAATTCTCACTGACGCGAGCCTGCAAAAAACAGTGTCTACTAGCTACCGTACTCCGCGGGGTCCGCCGGACTGCCGCAGTGCAGGCTCAGTACGGCCGCCCTGTCCGATCCGACGGTCCGATCGACTCGACGGCGACTCTCAACAGCCCGTCTCGGCAGAATGCATGGAAGTTCCTAACTAGCCTGGTCACCAGTATCAGCTACCGTGTGGTTGGCGGCCCGCCGGGGCGGCGGGCCGCCGGAGTGTACTAGCGGCCCCGGTACGGTACTCACGGCCCGGGGCCCGGCTGAGTATGACTCAGTATTGCAGTGACTCGGCGACAGGTCCCAGCTCTGAACCCCAGCCACCCCCACCCCCGGATTTATTCACCTGATGACCCCTTATAATTGCTACAATCACCCTCCGGTACCCCACGAATGAAGGACTTCCTGACCGGATAAAGTTGACTACCCCCTTGATGATTGCGTCGGGGGTGGGGTTCTATTCCAAGGGGAATGATGAGGGGATCGCTATATCCATTTCTTTAGAGTTGGCGCAAATATGAAAACTAACTTGGGGTTATCCACATTTTTAGACTCACAATTTCGAGGTACTTGCGAAAATTTTGAATTTCTATTGCCAACTAAGGATTGTGCAGTATCAGCATGCGGTTTTTATCGACCGTCTGAGGACGAGGAGGTGAGATGAGGGATAGGAGCAACGCGGACACCTTGCAATGAAAGGGACGAGCGACAATATTCAGAACATAACATCTGATGATGTGCATGAGAGGGATTTGTACTGAATTGGGCCATGGATCAATGATTTTCGGCGTGTGAAAAGGTTCTCCATCGCTAGTCACATGTCAATCAGGTGAAGGTGTCTGCAGAAAAGAATCAGTCCAACTTTCATCAGAGCAGAGATGAAGTCACAATCGAGATTTCGAACCCGATTTTTCGCACTGCTGGGGCTTTGCCTTCATTTTGTTTTGGTCGTGTTTGCCTCTGATGACGAAGAGAACATCCCTTTGGATGATTTTGAAATCAGAGACAAGAACAGGGATGGAAGGTGAAACCATGTTCCTTTGTAACTCAACGACCTGGGATATTTACCATGACACACAGGGTCACGAGGCAAGAGTTTGTTGATGGGAGCAGGGGGGGTTCGGATTCAGCCTTTGCCTGTCTTGACGGCGACATGAATGGGTATGTGACGAAGGAGGAGCAGAACGCTCTGAAGAAGCGATTCTACCGGAGCAGACTCTCGCAGGTCAGTGTGTTGCAGATTGTTTCCCGTCCTCCCATGGCGCTGACCAATGGTTGCCAGCTGAACTCTGAAGAAGTTCTAGACTGGCTCATGTATCCCAAGTGCGTGCCCACTGACATGAGCAAGTATGCGAACAAGTTCAAGCAAGCAGGTGCTTCTTCTCGATGACACGAACTTGCGTTGAACGAGCATGCAGGGCTGAATGGATTGTCCCTGTGGGAGTATGGAGTCCGCAGCCCTCGGCTCCTCAAGAACGAGCTCAAGATCGGGAACCCAGTGGTCAGGCGAACTCTAGTGCAGGCTATCTGCAGGTAGTGCCAGGGTCTCCTTTTCCGGAAGTTTTGATGTCTCCCGGATGGTTCTCTACAGGGAAATTGAAGGACTTGGTTGTTTGGGACCTCCTGTTTCAGCTGATTTGATGGCTCCGACTACTAGGGAGAACAAGACTGAAGGTACAATCTGCTGACTCGGTGTTCAACGTGAATGTGCTTTGTGCAGAAAAATTGGAAGATGCTATCAAACATGTCGATTCGAGATCATTCTTCGAAGGTAGAGAAGTGGTGTTGGTAGATTCAAAGCTCATTTGTTTGAAGGGGGTCAGGACCAGAACGATGATGGTCAAGTCAGTGAAGAGGAATTTGTTCGTCAGCAGGTATGGGAATAAGCATGAGACTTGGAATGAAATTTTTGCAGGCTCGAGGAGGTGTGGGAGTTCTAGAAGCATTTCATTGTTTGGATCCGGATAGAAATGGACAGGTACGGCACAACTCGTTGCTTCCACGAGCTGGAAGGGGCTGAAATGGCCTTGTAGATCACAAGACAAGAGATGTGGGAGCTGAAGACTCGTTTTTGGCGAAGCAAACTGAGCAAACTGAGCAATGAAGAACTTATCAAATGGCTTTCGGATGACAAGTGTGTCCCAACAAACATGGAGGTAACAATGAGTGTTGAAAGATACTCCGGTAATCCTCTTATCAAAGGACTACATACCGGCTTTCAAGAAACATGATGTTCGAGGCCTGACACTGTGGAGCATCGGAATACAGAACCCGAGGTGCTGTGATGCTGACTGTGAGCTCCAGACGTGACAGTCTGTAGATTGCTTCATACCATCCTAGGGATTAAGAGCGACATGAAGCGAGCTCACCTGACGGAGGTTTACTTGTTGGCATTCAATTCTCTCCCGAACTATCTTGGTTGACAGGCTATCTGCCGTGAGATTCTAGACTCTGGTTGCTTCTCAGACACGGTAGCGTCCCAATGGGTTGCTCATCTTGCTGAAGCTGTTGAGTCCAGAACAAATGGACCGGGCTGTTTGGAGGATGGAAATACTGGGGGTCAACGTTGCTGAGCTTCGATCTCTGGCAGGTAATTTTTCTCACTTTCACCTGCAGCTTCGATAACGATTGCCAGGTTTTGAACCTCATCTTGTCGTTTTTTGGCTTCTTGGCGCCACTCGCCTTTGGTGCATTTCGCTTGGGTATCCTCAATGATACGATTCGGACCTTGCAGGAAGTATGCCCCAATTTCTGTTGTCAAGCGTGTTTGTCCTTCCCTCTTGTTTCTCAGTCCCCAACCCCGCACACCCCAAATTCTTTCCTAATCGTCTATATATTAGTTTGTAAGTGTCACACTCACGTTTCGGTGCGCGTTCTTCCTCTTCATATTTGAAGTGTTTTTCAACAAACTCCTTGCATTGATATATTTGGGTGCTAGGGAACTCTGAATGCAAGGTTGCAAGTTGGGAAGATGGTGAAAAAGATAAGAGTGCCGAACTTGGTCCAGTCGCAGTCAAATGAGAACGCCAGCGGTACTGCGTCAAAGAAAGCAAATGGACCGACCAAGTCAAAATCGCACACATCCCTTCAAAATTTGAGGTCGGACAGCAGTAAAGTTCGAAAGGCAAACATGGAAGCCAAGAGAGCAGAAATCATGCAAGCGCTATCAGCGCTCGCTGGGGTTCAAGGAGAACAAGCGAACAAGTGTGCTACATTTCCACCATCAATCAAAGGTGACATCAGACTGTGGGATCTGAAGGTTGCTGAATGTTTCTTGATTGTAGAATCACTACTGAAGAGCCACAGCGACTCAGCATTGGCTGACGACTTCGAAGATTGCTTCGAAGATTCGGACGAGGTGTTACAGTGAGAGAGTGTTTGCGGTTCGCTGAATGACTGTGAAGGGACCGTACCATACCAATTCTACTGGTGGTGCAGCTGCAAGAGGTTGTGTGCAGCAATCGGTACCTCAGCATCATGTTATTTCAGCAAACTATTGAGAATTCTCAACAGGGGAATGGCATGAAGAGATCGAAAGACCAACCATCGAGGACGGATTGTAAGGACGAAATGGAGCTATTCTTTGTTTCCTGATCCTCTGCGCCCAGCAGCAAGATCGCAATCCAGCACAAGGCCAACGAACGAGACTGGGAGACAAGCTCAAGCTCAGATTCCGAAGCAGCATGCCGATGGCACAGCAGGAGCTCCGATCACTCTTGATCATGCGACCGCAAAGAAGATTGTTAGACAATCCATGCAAGAGACAGAGAGGGAAATACAGCCAACTTCGATTGAAGAATTTTCAGCATGTGAGTTGAAATCCTGCGGATTTTTTCTTTCTCCCCCAAAAAGACATCCTGATGAATGTTTGTTCAGCAGCACACGGGTCGAATATCAGGAAAAGGTGCAATTACTGCAACAAGCTCTTCAGCAAGTACAGACAGTTGTTGCGCGCCTGCTCAACAATAACTGGACGTTGACACCTGCAGGAACTGGTTCATAAGGAAGATGGAGAGGTATCAGTGCAAGAAATGCGGCCTGTTCTTCTGCGCAGCCCACAAGAGCAAAGGGCATCACGGGTGTGTATGCAGCTGGCGAACGCGCATGCACTCACTCAAGGCAGGTGCCGAAGTCTTGGAGGTGGGAGAGCGATGGCAGGCCGCCATGAAGACTTGTCCATGTCAACCCATGATGGAGACTACGAGGTTACGATCGGCTGTCTGCGGTGACTGCATGACATACTTTCGCAGCCATCGCCCGACTCGAGTCTGCGCGAAGAGAGGTAACTTGATCGCTTGCGATTCTCGTCGACGGGCTGACCTTGACCTGTCTCCCTCCACAGAGACGACACGGACTGTACTTCTTCATACAGCAATTGAGTAGCCGCAAGGACTCGATGAGATGCTTGCCCAGCCGGCCCCATGGCCTGCCACAACCGGGCGAGGTGGTGGAACTTCGGAACGACTGCCAAGAGCTGGTCAAGATCGGTTCCAAAACATGTATACTACCATGATGATATGCAGTGAAAGTTTATTCCTACTACACTGGAACGGTGACGGCAGTCACTCGGAGTTCCATCATTGATTGACGTGACTCTGCCGCGCCACTGTGCCAGGCTGCGGGTCACGGTGGCAGCCGCCCTCACTACTACAACGGTTCACCATCTCGACCACCCAATCGGGCTCAGTGATCCGTTTTCAGATGGGCTTTGCCGCGGCTGTTTCACTTGAGGACTGAGGCTGCGTCCCGAATGATGGTGATGGTGCCGTCATCTGACCCACAAGCGACATAACACGCATCACTTGACCAGGCCAAGTGCACGATCTTTGCTCTCTTGCTTCTATCAAGCTTCAGAGTCGTCACTGTGGCATTAGTCCAGGGGTCCATCATCACATCTAACATGGTGACCTGACCATTCTCACACCCACAAGCGATCGTACTTCCATCTGGTGACCAAGCAACGCTTGTCACCACAGCCGTCCTGTCTGGAATGAAACAGTTTTGTGAAGCCCAGCTGCTTACCTTCCACACAGCCACAATTCCTTCACCAGACAAAGTTACAATCATCTTCCCGTCTGGTGACCAAGCGACGCTTGTCAAGGCAGCAGTTTTACTGCAACAGTGTTGGCTAGACTTTCCGCTGCTGACCTCCCAGATCCTCACAGTCTTGTCCCATGAAGCTGTGGCGATGGTCTTCCCATCCGGAGACCAAGCGACACTCGACACGCGATGCGCATGACCTTTGAAGCACCTTTCCTTCCTGCCGGTGCTGACCTTCCAAATCCTGAGAGTCGTGTCCCAGGACCCTGACGCAAGCTTTGCCCCATCAGGAGACCAAGAGAGACTCGTGATCGTCTCCTCATGTCCCACCAAGTCTCTGACTTTGTCGCTGCTTTTGCTATTCCACAAGCTGATGATCTTGTCTTCCGAGCCCGAGGCAATGAGGCTTCCACAAGGAGACCATGCTACGGTCATGACGCTTCCAGCATGTCCTTCATAAAGGGTTTTCTCGTCTGGATTGGTAAAACTATGTGTCCGCAACATCTTATCCTCAGATCCAGTGGCAATCATCTGTCCATCTGGGGACCATGCAACACTTGCGACTTCATTCTTGTGTACTTCATACCTTTTTACAACTTGCCAACAATCTTTCTGCCAGATTCTGACAGTATTGTTGCTGGAGCCCATGACGATACTCAGTTCATTAGGAGACCATGCAACGCTGTTCACAGGAGCAGAATTCAGATTGTGACCGCAGAGATTTTGTGGCCAAGACAAAAACAATCTCTTTCTTTTTTGCCATATCCTCACTGAGCCATCTTCAGAACTCGAGACAAGATCTCCATTCTTAGACCATGCGACACTGGTAACGAATCGTTTGTGTCCCTCACAGCAATGGATCTGTTTGTTTTTATTTACATCCCATATTCTGATTGTCGTGTCCGAGCACCCTGAGGCAATCATCTTCCCGCACGTCGACCATGCGACGCTCCTTATGCCGGATCCGTCGGCATTGTTGAGAAACCACGCTAGAGGTACCATTCTTGGGATCCATCGACCTGCTTCATCTGCTCGAAAGCATTTGATCTCATTCTCATCGTCCTCCCTCCATATCCTCACTGTATAATCCATAGAACCCGTGGCAATCATTGTCCCATCGGGCGACCATGCCAGGCTTGTAATTTTGTCTTGATGTCCTCGACAAATCTTGATTTCCTTCCCACTGCTTACCTCCCATATCCTCACTGTCTTGTCCTCAGACGCTGAGGCAATCCTATCCGAGGTGGGAGACCATGCAATGCTTGTGACGTTGCCTGTATGCCCCTTGAAACGTCTCAATTCACTTCCGCTCCTCACCTCCCACGTTCTGATTGTGCCATCCTCAGAAGCAGAAGCCACAACTTCTTCTGTTGAATCTAGGGGAAATGCAACGCAAGTTACTCGATGTAGATGGCCTTTCATGCAGCATATCTCTTGGAGGCTTGTTTTGTTCCAGATCCTTACTGTCTTGTCCCAAGAGCCTGATGCAATCAAGTTTCCCATAGGAGAGCATGCGATGCTTGACACCGCGTCTGAGTGACCGTAACATATCTTGACAGAGTTCCAGAAGCCTTCATCGCTGGGTTGCAGTCGTCTGAATCGTTTGGCAGCAGCAAAACTCTCCTCCTCGTCCCCACCGCTCGCGACTTGTCGCTTCATCCTCGCTCTGCCAGTGTCGGCCCAGACCTGCCAGCTAAGAACAATCTCAATTCTTATATTTTCAATTTTGAAATTTTATAAGATAATTTTATCGCAAAATTTGGAACAATGAAATCTGAAAGTGGGCAAAAGTGCACTGACGGAGGGTCGGCTGACAGGTCAGCTGAACTGCGGGGAAGAGGGGATGAGGGCAAGCTGCAGTGTGCGGGATGAGGGCAAGCCTACTAGGCTGAGAAAAGGCTGAGTAAGCACGACTGTAGCCTCTTGTTTACTCAGCCGCTAGTAGGCTAGCAGGGTCAAGTTGCGCCGGGCGGCCGCCCGGCCGCCCGGCCAGTGGACCGGGGACCGTACAGTCGGACAAGCCTGCTGACGGGCCCGGGAAGGTCTGGCCGTACGGCAACTGGGGCTGAGGCTTGTAATCATTAGTTAACTGTAATGAGTAAAATAGGGGTGCTTACACAGATTACTCGGGGAGTTGCTGTCCTACAGGGAGCGTTGCCGTTATCGGCGATCGGACCGTGAGCGGGTGAACTTCGGAATGCTGGGGGGAGCGGGCATGGACTGACGTTGCGGAAGCAACTTGAAGCTCGATGGTGAAAGAAGACAAGAAGGAGGAGGATCCTCTAGCAGGATGCCCTGTTCCCTTCGAGCCTGTCAACGACGCACAGCTGCTGTCAGACGTCAGGTCCCCTCGGTTCCTCCAGGCTTGTCAGCAGCTCCTGATCGACCCTCTTGAGCTCAAACCCCGGGCCTTCGACAGCTTCCGCGCTCCCGGCCTCGTGCCCGAGCAGCAGCAAGTGCGCTATGCCGTCTACGAGAAGAGCCGCATGGCCAAGTGGAGAGCGATCAACGATTGCCGAGCCAGGCTGCCTCGGTTGCTGGAGAGCAGCGGCGGTGGGAGCATGGAGAGGCAGGAGAAAGAGGACCCTCTGGAGCTGTCATGGATTCACCAGGAGCTCTCCAAGTCTAAGACGCAGGTGGAGCGAGGGAAGGCAGAGGCGATCAAGATCGCAGCGAGGAAGCTGAGGGATATATCTGCAGTCAGCAAAGTGGTGAGGGAGGGAGGGAGGGAGGGAGGGAGTTGCTGCTCGTGACAAGTTCTTGCACAGAGCAACGTCAATCTCCTTGAGGCACAGAGAAGGAGGGAGACGGAAGCCAAGGTTCGGGCTGACTTTCGTCGCAAGCAGATGATAAAGAAGCAAGAGGAGCTCATCAAACGGAAGAATGAGATGGAACAGAGAAACATAGTCGAGCAGGAGGAGCGGAAGAAGAAGATGAAGGAGCTGGACGAGGCTCTGACGCAGAGGATCGACACACTGAGAGCGTCTTACGAGAAGGAGGCAGAGGAGAAACGCAGGAGCGAAATGACGAAACAACAGCGAATCCAAGACAACATCAACAAGAAAGAAGAGGAATTGAAGGAGCATACCAACCGTATTCTTGAAAACCTCAAGAGGAAGGAAGAGCAAGCCAAGAAGAGACAGGAAGACTGGATGGATGACACGAGAAACAGCAGCGACAAACTTTTCGAGGCTGAACGGAGGAGACAAGAAGCTGCCAAGTCGGCCGAAGACAAGGCTAGAGCCCTTGTGGCTGCGTACAAGAGGAAACAGGCAGAAGTGGAGAAGAAGGAACAACAGAGGTTGGAGCGACAGAGAGAAATCGCCAAGGTTTGAACAAACACCTGGCATGTCTAACTTTGATGTTTCCAGTGAGCATGATGCAGGAGCGAAGGCAGAAAGAGAATGAGAAGAAGAAGAAGATCGTCGAGATACAGAAGAAGAAAGAGAACATCCTACAAGAAAAGGCTTCTCTGGTCTTCACCATGATATATTCCTTCCACTGCTCTCCTGACTTGTGAATATGCAGATCATGGACCACATGAAAACCGTTGAAGAGAACTTGGCTGCCTGCGAGGAAAAGCGCAAACTCGACTTGCTCGTGAAATCAGAGTTGAGCAAGTTGAAGAGTGAAGTCGCAAAGAGGAATGTGCAGAGGTCAAGGATGTTGGAGTCAAGGATGCAGAGTGATCTTGAGAAGAAACTCAATCACCTTGAGGAGAAGAAGAAAGAAAGGGAGCGAATGCTGGACAGCTTGAAAAAAGAGAGACATTTTCATGCGACACAGATTAGGCTGCAAAAGGATGAGTAAGTCTTGTTCGTCATCTTATACTTGTTTCTGATTATTTATGCCTCAACAAGGTTGTTGGAAGAAGTACATAACATCCAAGTCCAGAAGTCCTGGAACAAAGCGAACAACCTTTTGAGAAGTTTTGAAAACACTGTATAAACTGCAAAATGACCGAACGTTTTCGATACAAGCTTGAATCATGTGATCTACAAGTGTCTTCCTTAAAGTGAGGCATGCCCACTGCAAGGGTGAGGGAGGAGATACCCAATAGCTAATCAAGTTATGAAGACTTGGCTTTACAAACCGATCTCAATCAATATCAATAGATTACATGGTGGAGATGTGAAGGAAGCGCAAACTAAAGAACAGATGGATGCTGTTGCAATCGAGTTGAAAGCAATCGAATTACTTGCCTGATGAAAAATTCCAGAAGGAAGACTTTGAGTCATCTTTGGTCTTCGGTGATTTCTTCGACTTTGAATCCTTTGATTTCTGCTTTCAAGTCAACAAGAAATCCCTAGAGCAATTATGGAAGTCAAACCCCTGTGATGACCGCCATGAATTCTTCGTTGGTCTTCCGTATTCGGTAATCAATGATAGACATTGCAAATGAAAACTGCACGAGTAAGGTCACTTTCAAAGGATGTCCGAATCTTGCTGATCTCCCTACCTTGGCCTGATTCAGCCGATCTTTGAAACGGCTCTTCTGCGGTTTTTCATCCTTCTGTTCCCGGATGCTCATGATCAGGAATAGGAAACCACCGTTCACCTTCGTAAACCATCCTCCTCCTGACGCGCTCTTAGCATTGCTCTTCGAGCTGTCCGAGCTCCAGCTCCACCAGGGCTTCTGGCACAGCACTTCAACCAGCGCCTGCTAGGAGATCTGCTACCTCCTCAACTTTCTTGGCAGGTTCTTCCGCTTTCCTCGGACGCATGCAATCTCCCAGAGCGAAATGGTTTTCCTTGATAGGACAGGACAAGTCAGGAAATGGCGGTTCAGGCATTCTCCTACCTTGCCCTCTTGCACCGGAGCCTGCTTCTCTACCGGAGCCTTCTTCTCTTGCCTCGGCGCCCCGCATTGATCACAGAAGCGGTTCTGCAGACAAAATCTCTCAGGCCTGAGGGGACTGCTGCACGACAAGAGTTGAAGTTTCTGACCACAGAGTCATGGACGTTCTTGTCCTGCTCCTCCCTGTCCTTCTTCACCGTCTCCTCGTACAGTCGGTCTGCCTCTGCCTGCACTCGCTCATGCTCTTTCTGTGTCTGCCCTCGTATCCTTGACGCCTCCCTGTCGCTGACTTTCTCGAGCGCGCTGCCGAAGGAGGCGCCAGAGTACTTTCCAGTTCCCTATGAAGGCAGGAAGTGTTACATGGGAGGATGCATCGGCAGGATTCACCTGGTTGAGCAGCTTGTCGGCCTTCTCCCGGTCAGTCAGCTTCTTCTTCTTAGGCTCTGGCTCCTTGACTGGCGCCTCCTTCGTCTTCTTGACGACGAAAGAGTGAAGGTCCGTCCTTCCGATCGTGCAATGAAACGAATCATCCCCTCTCGAAACCTTGAGCCTGACTTTCGATCCTGGCTCCCCTCTCAGCTTCGCCTCAACATCCTTCTGCGCGAGTCCGGAGACGCTCTCCTTGTTGACCTTCAGGGGTCCATCAACGTTGGGAGACAATTAGGTCAGTCAACGAAGTCACCTCAAGCAGCGTGTCGTTGATGTTCAACATCCCCGTCTGTTTCGCCGAGCCATTGGTATGGAAGCCGATGATCCTGTAGACCTTCTTGTCGGGAATCCATTTGATCACGAGACCAATGTCTGCCGACTATCATTGTTGTCACATGGCAGGCCTGCAAAACCTCCCCCATATCTCTTCACATCTCATCCCACCTCCCCTCGCTCCTCACATCTCATCCTGCTACCCCCCAGCACATCTGCTCTCTGCTCTCTGCTCTCTGCTCTCTGCTCTCTGCTCTCTGCTCTCTTCTCCTCTCTGCCTCTCCCCCTCTCCCCTCTCCCATCGCGGAACTCAACACGCTCACCATTTTCGGTCAAAACTTCCCCGACACACGCGGTTTTACTCAACTCGTTTATTTCTGTTTCCTCCCCCCCACATCCCCGCGCAGTCTTCCCTTTTCCCTGACCCTTCGTGCTCGCCCAGTATCCTTGAGATCCATTTTTGTTCGCCATCTGCTCCGCCATGCAGCTCTGCATGCAGCTTCTCTTCTTCCTCTTGGTGAACATGGCGGCAGAGGCAGCGGCGGAGCGAGTTCGCTATTCTCATGCTGAGACAATGGCAGCAAGAATGAGGAGGAGGGAGCAGCTTCGTCCTCTGTTGGCCAGTCGCTGGTTAGAGCGACGGGCAGCTCGAAAAGGGAGAAGTGCACACATGCTGGACGGTATGGACGAGGTAGCTGAATCCCCGGAGGTTCCGAGCTCGAACATGGACCACCAGCTTCCTCTCCCGCTCAGTCATTGTGCCCCCTTCGATATCAAGACAAAGAATGGAATGTTGCGGGTCCAGCCGGGAGAGAAAAGGGCCTATATCTTCCTTATCGTGTCCGACGACCAAAACCTGGATGATTTGCTTGAGGCTTCTTCGTTCGGCTCATTCTTCAGGTGATTGAAGACTTGCTCATGGACCGGCAGGATCGTTGTCTGATCGTTGTGCTTGTCAGGGCTGTTCCTCAGCAGACACATTTTGTTTTCGGTGCACAAGCTGACAGCATGGACAAGTTGCAGACCATACAGGAACAGATGCAGAGAACGTCGGGGTACGAGGAAGTGAAGGGTCAACTCCACTTCATGACGGAGGCGATCCAGCCGCGGTGCCATCTCAAAAGAGAGATTTGCCAGAAGCAATATTACGACAACCTCGTCTTTCAGGCAGTGAATGAGTGGGGCGGGGAGGAACCTTTGATGCAGATCTCTTGGTCCGAGAACGGTAAATTGCATACCAAGAAAGTGGAGGCCAAGGGCGATACAGGTCAGCTGTCTCATTTCATCCCTGTCGACCATTTTCTGTGAAAGGTCTGAGAACTGTCACAGGTTGGCTTCCTAGCATTCGAGAGTTGCTGCAAGAGCAGACAGATCCACTAGAGGTTTAATCTACAGACTGGTACAAAATGGTGGAGCTGACTCAGAATATTTTTCTGGAAATGCAGTTTGCCAACTGGGGAGGGCTGGCATGCGATGACTCTGACAACCCGCAAGAAAGTGTCCAAGGTGGGAAGAGATGGAGGATTTGGAAGCTTTACACCTTGAGTGCAGGAAAGATCGCTGTTGTCAGGAGAGGAAAATGCGCCTTCTTCGAGAAGGTTCGGCTGGCTCAAAATCATGGTGCAAGTGCCGTGGTAATCGTGAATTCGGAGGACGGGTAAGGCAAGACTGATAGAGGACGTCCTGCTCACTTTACCACGCAGCGATATGGTCTCGCTCTCATGCGGCTCGCCCGATCCCTGTAAAAGCGCAGGATTGAAGATACCAGCTGTGATGATGAGCCATGAAGCCGGAGGGGAGGTTGTCTCCCTTCTATCTTTGGAGATGTTTGCGGGCTAATCGTAATTCCAGGTTCTGAATTTGCTGAAGAAGAGAGTCACAGTAACAAACCGTTTCTCCCTGAAAAATGCGATTCAGCACTTTGTTGGATTGGATCACTTTTCACGTCTGCGGGAAATTGGGCAGATTCCTCCAAGAGGAGCTGAGGAGAGTTTTGCACTCACGTTTCTTGCTCTTGAAGGGGAATATTACGCGTATGAGCGAAATCTGGAACAAAAGCTGTCTCAACCGAATGCCCTCATAGTTCCAGTGTTGGAGCAGTCGAAACAGAAGGAAAGTGGAATTCTTTTCAGTGGCGGCAGCGGGCTTTACAGTGTTGTCGAGTTACCGGATGAGGCAACGATGAAGGATTTTGACAAACTTGAAGTGTACGCTTCGCTAGATTGCCCAGGGGGCGCCGACAAGGACTGCGGGGAATGGGATTACGTGGTCCAACTCTTGTTGTGCAAGGCCAATGAAAAGACTCTATCTCAGACCTCGTGGGGCAAGGCAACCTCAGTTGGGTCCTGTGATTTCGAGATGGGGAGGTTCGTGACCCCCTACTCCCGCCCCGGCAAGTGGATGATCGATGCTACAGCGACTCTCCCCCTTCTAATGGGTGGCGGGAGGCATTATTTCCTTCTGAAGCAGCCTTACTGGTCGCAGCAGAAGTACCTTGCAGACGTTCGTTTTGTCTTTTCGTCTTCAGGGATCCATGAGCAGCCCCTCCTGTCGATTCCTCTGTTCCATGGAGGAATTTTTGATCAAGAGTACAACTCAAGGCATCGACCCATGAACATTGACATCCCTTACCTGACCAGCCGAGCAGAAATTCACTCGGTCATCACTGGTCATGGATGGGGAGAGGACAACGAGAACTGTGCTGAGTTTTGCGTCACTCAGCATCGATTCAGCCTGCGACAAGGAGTGGAGATCGACGGTGAAACGTACGCGTCAAGTGATGAGCACGTGTACGAGACATCGCTGGACGGGGCAGGGAGCGAGATGGGATGTGCTAGGAAAGTTTCAGAGGGCGTCACTCCCAACCAGTATGGCACTTGGCAGTTTGGAAGGGCTGGTTGGTGTCCAGGCAGTGCAGTCAGCCCGTGGGTGGTGGATGTGACGTCGTCAGTGAAGCCAGGGCTCCAGGCTATCATCACATACTCCGGCCTCTTCAACAACAGCCAGTACGATCCTGCTGCATGCGTCGGTGACGATTGTGTCGACCAAGGCTTTCCGGCTGAGATCCGCATGCGCTCGTATCTGGTTATCTATGGGAAGAAGCAAGGATCTCTACAGGCCCCAGCAGCAGCACGAGCCAGCAGGTCGAAACTTAGAGCCATGGAGCGCATGCAGGTCTCATCTTCGGAACGAGGAGTGTGGAGTGGAGCCGGTATGGCAGGGAGCCTGAGCTTCTGCTTTATGATCCTGCTAGGAATGATCAGTCTTCATCTTTACCAAAGGCGGGCTGTCAGGCAAGGCTACAACAAGATCAACAGCTCTGTGTAACGTTTGCAACTTTATTCATTGTACCATCTCTCCTTCCACCTCTTAACGTCAAGAACGAAATGAATTCGTAATTATCGCTCCATGTGCAACATGAAGCATCTCATATCTACAAAGACGTGCCTTGAATGATCATGACGAAGGCCAAAAACACATTCCGAGACATCGAACCACTCTAATCCAAATTGACGACAGCCGATACTGCAACAAATGTGAGCGTGGAGCAAGGGAGAGAGCAACTGGCAGAACCGTCCTCCACTGGCTTGCTATCAGGCTTCAAAGCTGAAGCCTCCAGCAGGTCTTTGAGTTCTGCGAGCTGCTTGTGAACATGCGCCACCTACCTTACGATCAGAGTGACAAGAGGCCACCACAACACAGCTCACCTCGTCCGCTGTGATCGAGAGGTCGAGGAGATGACCGTAAGATGTCCGATTGTATGGCCTGTACGACAGCCTCTCATGGCTACCCATGAGCATTCCTTGCAGAATGTCTTGAATCCTCTGTCAGACAAGAGTAAATCTCCTGGGAAGATTTTTGAGCTTGCCATACCTCAACAGAGGCAACATATTCTCTTGTCAGCTTGTCTATGTCCGCATCGTCCGCAACCGGTGCACCAACTTTTGCCGACATCTTAGCTTTCATGGCCTTGATGACGGTGATGGCTGTGTTCATGACCGCAATCACTTTGTTCTCAGCTTCAGCAAGCTCTGTCATCATGTCTGGCTCGACTTGTGCGACCGCTGCGCCTGCCGATCACGCGCTCGCTCATGCTAGGGGATGGGCAGCAAAGACGAGATCACCGGCTACGTTGGGAGGGATTGGAATCCTCCCCGGCACATGACCTGGAAGAACTGTGCCTGCAGGAAAGCGAGCATTCATGGAGCGATGAGAACGATAATGTCAGATAGAGGGGGCATCACGATCACGATGACCGTTGGGACAAGAACAGCATAAGAGCGACTGGTGGGGGAGAATTCGCGGAGAACAGAGCTTGCGGTAGTTAGCAAGTGAGAAGGAAGCAGCGTGGAGAGCAGAAAAGTTGAAAGTAGCATGTATGATGAGGATTGAGAGGGTCATGGGGACATCTGCATCACTCTCGACCTACCAGGCCGCATCGGCGCCATCCCAGGAGGAGCCATGCCGGGATAATGACCTCGTCCCTCCTCATACCAATTCACTACCCACCCCCCCTGCTCCAGCACCACCCTACAGTAGTTCTGTACTGGCGACCACCCTTCGGGTTCCCACCACAACCATTTCAACTACCCTACTTTATCCGTTCAAAAGTACCCCTGTGAAACGATTTTTTCACCCACCTGACGATGCTCCACCCCTTGTTGAAATCACCACCCCTACCTCCTATAGTTAATTCCAGGGGTTATTCCAACCGCCTTTGCGCGGGAATTTGTCGCCCTTCATGGCGCCCCCGATTGTGGGAAGCAGCAGCGTCATCCCCTTCCTTTCTATCTCCCTCCTCCTCTCCCTCCTCCTCCCCTCTTGCAACAAATCTTGACACGTTTGAGCTCTTCCCATGAGACTTGTGGCTGCATCCCTTGCAGCCTGACCCTTCTCCTCTTGTTTTATTCGTAAGGGTGAAAATTGGTTAGACGGCAATTTTCGATAAGTTCAAGCTCGCGACAAGTGCAAACAACTACATTCTACTGATACAATTGCATGATCACTCCACTACCATTGATCTGACCAGTACCAGGATGTTTGCGTGATTGATCTGAAAGATTGTGAGATGCCGCGAAGAAGGGTGAATCGGAAGCAGGAAAATGATTCCGATGACAGCGACACTAAGGCTGAGACCCCGAGCCCCAAACCGAAACCTGCTGACACTGAAATAGAGCAGGAAAAGGGGGCAGGGGCAGGTGTAGGATTCACCAGAAAGACCAGAGGCAGAAACAGGTTTGCTGGAGACGATTCTTCTGACGAAGATCAAAGTCAGAGTAAGCCCAGTGTTGCTGCATCTGCTGATGAAAGCAAGCGTGCGAGAGAAGAACGTCGTAAGCGTCTGGAACAGCTGAAGCTTGCGAAAGAAGCGAAAGCCGAGCAAGATAAGAAAGATGACGAGATATCAAAAGCCGAAGATGAAGCAGAAAACGATGACGGTAGAAGTGTGGAAGCAGATGAAAACAAGGATTCAGTCTTGCACCGCAAAACTTCGAGAAGGCGTACACGATTTGACAGCAGAGAATCAAGCCTGGAGACTCCCTTCTCTTACACGTCCGCTTTTGCTGGCCATCCTGAACATATTCCATGGGTTCCTGTGTCAAAGAGGATTCAACAAGAAAAAGAGGTTCTTTTCTCTCTTGCAGGGAGGGGCGAGAACATTCTGGAAAAAGCCAGGAATGACATGCGAAGGCAAGGTCTCTATGTAGCTCACGAGAAAGAAATCCTTTCTGCAAATGTTGAACGTGCTGTGCGGAGAATTCGGATGCAGCAAAGCATGGCCGCAAAGGATGGTGTTAAGGCTGCCGATGATAGCCAAGAAAAAGATGATCATGACAAATTGTCTGCGATTCGTTTTCCTCCCCGTGAGGAAATTTTTGTCACACCGTTCGATCCCTTGGAGATCCGTCGCTGTAGACCAACAATGAGATATGATCCATCAGCGATGTATTTGCAGTATGACATGGTGGTTCCTGTTCAGAACATGGAAGCCGTTTTTGGATCCAGAGAGCATCCTACTGTTCTCGAGATAGAATTCTCATCCCTGACCTTGAAGGATCATCACCTGTTCTCCAAAGAGGACTATCTCGTCGCTGAGCTTGAGAGTCTATGGCGGAAATATCAGTATAGGACAGAAATGAAATGGGTGGATTTCTATTCCCAAAAGATTTCGTCTGCAAAGGCGGCGTTGGAAACAATTATGAAAGAGAAAGCACTGGATGCCAACAACATCAAGGGACTCTCAGTGAGGAAAGGTAGGCGTGATAAAGGAAAGGAGGATGTGAAAGAATCGGTCGACAAAAACAATTCGGATGGGGATGTTTTTGATAGTGTACAGAAAGAGCCATGGTTGCATGAGGAGCTCAGTAGGCTTCGAATACAGAAATCATCTGAGGAGCTTGAAGACCTGAAAATAGTAAGTCGTATGATTCAGATTTGGGACGAAGTCAAGAAAACTCGCCAAGCACAGGGTTTTACCAACACCAAATGTTCGCTGAAGTTCAAGAAGCAGTTGATGGACAAGCGAAAAGACGAAGAAGAGAGAGAAGAGGAATTGGAGGCAGAGCTATCAGAAATGAGGAGGCAACATGAGCACACACAGGCACTGCAAAGAACGAAGCACGAAAAGGATTGCAAAACGCTTGAGAACAAAGTAAAGACCATGGAGAAAAAGATCAAAGAATTCGAGGAAAAGGAGGCTCAGCTTTTGATGGCCGAGAGACCCAATGAAGATGAAGATCTCGACGATGAAGACGACGACGACGATAATGTTCAACTGCCAGCGATGAAGTCGAATGCTCAAGACAAGAAGTTTCTTTTGAGGTTGCAATCGCAATTGAAGTTAGAGCGGGATGAATTATCTGCGTACAAGAATATGCTAGAAACTTTGCGTGCAAAAGAAGACAAGGGTACGGAAAAATTTGACGTAGAGGCGGCCAAGAAGGCGATTCGTGATCGACAGGAGCGAACCAAACGCTCTCCTGGCGACCCCATTTACCTTCCTGTTCTGACTTACACAGCAGCAAAGACTGAGACTGATGCTTTGCCACAAACTTCGAGTGGTAAATCAGAGGCTATGAGAAGGAAGAAACTAAAGGACCTCAAAATAATCGTGAGACTATCAGTCAACGGAAATTGGTTGAAGGACGATGAAGGGAATATTCGTGATATAGAATTTAAAGTTGCAAATGACTTCACACTGAAGACAGCAACTATTGAGACAATAAGACTACTGATGTCAAGCAAAAGGCCAGAGGTGACAATACACGTTTTGGAGGATTCTGGATTCCTAGAACGTGTAAGGACATTTTCTAATGTTTCCGAATTTGCTTCAGTCTTTCTTCCAGTTGCAGAAGATTTTGATGATGCTAATTCCTTGTCATTGACGTTTCAAGCTACCGTGCCGTCAGAGAGACCGTGGTGTGTTGAAATTGAGCCTCAGACCACGAAGATCAATGAGCCTCGCGTTGTCAGACCCTCAGGACTTCATTACAATGCAGGAGAAGTTTTCATCAGGGTCTCAAAGTTCGATTCCAATGCAGATGAAGATTCTGTCAAGATAGACATTGAGTCAGACAATCTTCTTGAAACAAACAGATTGAATAGACGGTCTAGGAGTGATGTGACCAAGAAAGCAAAGGGGTTGATTTCTGTAAATAAGTTGAAGCGGCTTGTCGAAGCAAATGAATTGGATCCGAATGATCCCAGAAACAGAAATTTGTTAGAGTTGTTGAGTGCAAGCAAGGAAACGGAATCGAATCACACTGTGAGATTTGATGGCTGGATTAACAGTACCTACGTCGGCGACAACATGCTACCTGACCTTCGACTGCAAGAGCATAGCGTACATTCTCATCGATGGGTGGGTGAACAGTTCATCAAACGCCCAGCAAATGTTCGACACAAGCTGCTGATGACCAGGCAGAATCAATTATCAGCTGTTAGTATTCCACTGCTCGAGAGTGATATTCCAGATGATGACATTATCGACAAGATCTATGTCCTGGAGTTTCCTCAAACAGAAGATTCAGACCAAAAGATGTCAGAGCGAAAGAAGGTTCAGCGTATCATGAGATTCAAGGAGAAAGTACAAGAGCAGGTGTCCAAGGCAAAGGCCCGACAAGGACAAAGACTGCGAAGAGTTTACAGGCATGAGGATGTGGTACATCAGCCGAGACTGCCACACTTTGGAGTTCCAGACATTCTTGCCGGCATCACAAACTTGTTGCGTAAGAGGAGCGCATTGAGACCGCAGGTTGGACAGCTGCCAGCCACTATCGCAACGCCGTCACAATGCTACATTAGTATTTCAGTGCAGCGGGCCCAGAATCTTCCAATCAGGCATACGAATGATTCGAAGAGTATCGCTCCTCCGCTGGAATGTGTCGTCGAGGCAAGATTTGGTAAGCAAGTGGAGACCACTACAGTCTTCAAAGGGAATAATCCAGCATGGAACGCTAAGTTAAAGTTGAAGTTCGAGCCGCCGAGCAATAACTGGAGTCCCAGCAACCTAATGAAAGTCGAAGACAAGCTGTACTTGACAGTTTTCGACACCAAGGTCTACGAGTCAGAGAAGGAATACGGGAAACTCCGCAAGGTGGAGAAACGATGGTTGGGCTCAATCAGCTTTCCTTTCAACACCCTCTACATTGCCTCGGCAAAGGGTCGGGTTGATGGCACCTTCGAGCTGGATGCACCACCGCACATCATAGGCTACACTCGAGCGGAGCGCCGCAACTTGAAGGCTGGGAGGCTGGAAGGAGAGGAGGCTGCAGGAGAATCTCAGGGCCAGAACAAAGAAAAGGAGAATCGAAAGTCTAGCCTGCAGGTTTGCATCGCCTTGGATCCGCCCTTGTCCATCCCTGGCTCGCTCGACCGGGAGGTGGAAGGAAGGCTTCCTTCTCAGCCCAAGTTGGACCAGCGGGTGAAGAACTGGATCTTAGAGTGCAAGGGATACAACCGCGATCGGAACTTCGAGGCGCTGTGGCGCAGCTTGCAACGTGATTGGGTGCTGGGCACCCGCTTCTTGTGCATACAGGAGCCGCCGCCCGACCTTGTGAAGAAATCGCTGGGTGTACATGAGCAGATGCTGCAGCTGCTCAGGTTCGTCTCACTGATTCCGTTCCTTGAGGACTTCCACCTCGAAGACCATGGCGACGACATCGACATCGACTCGTTGAATGTCTGGTGTACCTCATCCGAGTTCATCGACATCATGGCGGGTGACTGGGAGGAGCACGCTTCGCTCCTGTGTAATTTCTTCTTACATGTTTTCAAACACAACCCAAAGTTGGAGGCAAGCGCCTACCTGGTATTCGGGAATGGGATCCCCGAAGGCGAGACGATCTATGTCATGACAATAGGCTCCGATCCGAACGACAGCGAGAAGATTTACCTGTGGAATGCGTCGAAAGGATCCGTCTATCACTCCAAGGACCCTTACTGTACTCTCAAGGAGATTCACTTCGTGGTGGACCAGCACAACATCTGGGGCAACATACAACAGACCAGAGACATTCGCTACACTTCATTCGACCTGACCGACACGAAAGGTAAAATCGCTCGTCTGATCTCTTCTCCTCTGACTTGTTTGCAGCTTGGAGGCCGCTGTTCAACGACAAGTTTCCTATCCAAAACTTCCATGCGGACACCGTCCAGGAAAGCATCGACTGGAAACCCTTGCAGAAACACGACGCGTACGCAGACGAAGTTCGAAAGGAAGTGGAGCAGTACATCCGCGGGCACTTGGAGACCCTGAGGGCCAACGACGGGAGGATGATGATCGAGGCTGCGAACTTGAGCAAGAAGCTCTCGGGGGTGCTGAAGCGGATGGAGATTGCGGCGAATTACGAGGGGACGTTCACTGAGGAGGACCTGCAGGCTGAGCTGTCGGGCTTCATGCAGCAGAACGAGGTGATCGGGTTCTACATCAACCGTCCTTACACGGACATCGAGCCAATCATCCACGAGATCGAGAGCTCCAACATCCACCGTGTGGGACCCGCAGAGGCCAACGAGAAAGACACTCAGTTCGCCATCGCAGTCCACGTGAGAGTCTTTCCTCGACGAGTCACCTCGTTGTGGGTTGCGGTCGCTTGTCTTGTGCGCAAGAAGCCTTAGATCTGTTGAATATTTAACCTTAAGAATGAAATGTTGTAAATGTTGCCTCCTATCTCCCTCTATGTCACATCACAAGAGCCCTCGCTCTACCCTTCCGACAGTTCTTCTCCCGGCATGTCTGTTGGAAGGATCTCTACCTCCTGTTCCTCGTCCCCAAGGTCCACCACGAACCTCACTCCGTCAGGTATCCCAGAGAACATCTCTCCCTTCAAACGACTCAGCAACGCAGGGGAGCTGTTGTGCTTTCACCTGGCAGACGCCGTTGACGTAGACGTAGAGCGAATGTTTCTGCATGTCCGCCAGCAGCCCAAGCTGATGAACGTTCAGGCATGTAGACTATACGAGTTGGGTCTAACCCTATCGCCTACGTTCACCCTCACGCTGTCTTTAGCCAAGTGCTCTTCTCCTATCCATCCGTCAGCTGAGTCAGCCAGTACTCTCAGACTGTCTTGACCTGGGCAGTAGGGCTTCGTTCCTATCCCAGGCAGAAACTGCTTGCTCATTCCCCCGTTGCTATAAGCTTTTCCACTTCCAACAAGCTGTAAGCTTCCTCTCTTTGTCTTCCCAGCTCATCGTACCTGTGACTTGACAACATCCAGGCATCTTCAGCCGCCATGGCAGATCTCCTAACAAGGGAGAGATGTGTGTCAAACAAGAGCGGGAGAGCAATGAAGCGGTCAAGTCAAGATGACATCGGATAGTGGAACTTGTGCAGCAGTATACGATACTTCTATGACAGCCATGGGACAGTGCAGCATATATGAGCGAGTTTCAAGACGAAGGATACAACCCCAATCAGAAGGGCAGTACATTCCATCTCACCCTTCCTTGTACTCGTGATTTCCCTTGCACACACCGAACCCAATGAAGCATTGAGGCATCGGGTTCTTCAGCACATGGAACTCGACGTACGACCTGTGAGACGATCATTCCAGGAAAGTCTCCTCCTGCTCCTGCTCCTGCTCCTGCTCCTGCTCCTGATCCTGCTCCTGCCCCTGCCCATTGCCCCTGCCCCTGCCCCTGCCCCTGCTCCTACTCCTGCTCCTGCTCCTGCTCCTGCTCCTGCCCCTGCTCCTGCTCCTGCTCCTGCTCCCCTTTCCTGCTGTCGGGAGGAATGACTGGGCTGAGCAATGCGCTCTGATAGTCTTCGCCCACCAGCTGACATTACGCGTCAAACAGAAGCCACATGTATGTATCGCAGCACCTTGGTTAGTTTCTTCCCCTTCTCAGTCACCATCAGCGTTTCATGGCACATGCCATGGTCAAATCGGAAAGAAACTGGAGCTCAAATGGCTAAGTCAAGACGATGAGGCGAAGGAATAAGACCAGGAAGCGAGCAGAATGATGATTGTGAGTGAATGAACGAGACGATAATGAAGAAAGAACATGGTGATGCATCTGCTGCAGCGGAGGAGGTGAAAGGAGGATATGACGACGAAAGGATGCAAGAGGACTGATGGAAAGACTGGAGAAGAGGAGGGAGAGGAGGGAAGAGAAGAAGAGAGGAGGGAGAGGAGATTGAGTGGAGATAGAAAAGGAGGAGGTAAATATACCTCCCATTCCCTCTACTTCCTTCTGCCATTGTTCCCCAACCAACAACAACACAAACAGCATTGTTCGCATTCGCGCCATGGCTGAATCGAGGCAGTCCGTGAAAACCTTGAGGCGGGTTCGGCGTGTAAAATACTGATCTGAAGGGGGAGACGCAAGTGGGAGAAAACCGATGATGGCGAAAATATGGATGAATGGAGGAGAGAGGGGAGCGGAGAGCGGAGAGGCGTGAGGAGGAGATGAGAAGAGGCCAGAGGAGAGGAAAGGAGAGGGGAGAGGAGAGGAGAGGAGAGGAGAGGAGAGGAGGGGAGGAGAGAGGAGGGGAGGGGAGGAAAGGAGAGGGGAGGAGACGGGAGGGGAGCAGGTAAGGAGAATGCTGCAGGCAAGAAGAAAGGTGGAGAGAGCACGACAACGAGAAGTGAACGGGAGATGAAGCGAGATGAGCTTCTTGCCCACTCGTTGAAGCTTGAATGTACATAAGTTAGTCCATCTCTATCAGCGCAGTCAGTTATGCCCACCTTCGGGACATTCGAGCTTCGTTGCATCACGTCATTGATTGTTATCCATCACTGTGTTCTTGGAGCAAACGACATTTGGAAGAATCTGCCCAAAGAAGCCTGGAAGAAACATGGAGATTCCAGGATAGCTGAGATTGAAGTAGTTGATCAAGGAGATGTACATGTTCAGCTCCCGGTCTCCTCCCTCTACGACGAGGAGGAGCATGTCGTAAGGGGTAGCATGGCACACCTCTTCGAGCACCTGCAGGATTTTCATTTCCTGCAAGCTTTCATCTCGTTCACAGGCTGTGCTGAGAAGCATTGCAAGCCCTTGAAGAGTCAAAGGACAGTATGGCTGAGGACGAATGCCTCGGAGATCGAAGGAGGAAACCCTTCTGTCCTCGCACATGCCAGCAGCGAGCTGGTCCTGCATACCTCAGTGTGTCATGCGCAGTCACGGGTATGGTACCTGAAGGTGCACCAAGATCATGTGCCGGAAGTTGTCTCGAGAACATTCATGAAGATCGTTCTGACCAAGTCTGCAGCACATGGCATAGGAGGAAGCGACGTCATGTTTGTTCAGCAGTCTTCTGTCCTGTTTGCAGTTCCATCGAGCAGTTTCACTCATGCTCCTGCCCTGAACTTGCATGTGAGCATTTCGGAGATGCAGGACGAAGTCCCTGTGAAGCATAGCAAGAACCTTCGTGCTGTGAGGGTGAACAAGATTGGATTCCGGCAAGGTTGTCCGATTGCTGAACACAACTCCAGCGCTCATGTGGGCACGATCGACTTCCATAAAGGAGCAGGAGTGATTGAACTGACGGATAGGATAGCGCTGAATGGAACAGAGGGAGCGACCTGGTACATGTTGCTGAGCTATCAGCCTCCTGACCATCAACAAGGGAGACTTCATCTCAATGTTGAGATGTTCCTGGATGCGCAGAGTCATGATTATACTCATTGTGAGGGGTCGCAGTGTTTACAAGCTCACAAGTTCTACAACGAACTGGCGAGTCTGATGGGAGAAGCTGCACAGACGCAACTGCTTGCATGCCAGAGCATGCATCTCCTCTTTCCTCGCCGCTCGTTCCCATACTTCATGCTTGCAAGTCATGCAGGACGAGAAGGACGCGAGCGGAGGAGGTGGAAGCATGTGAAGCAAGCTTGCAAGCTGGCAAGCATTGAGCTCGGAGACCTGCACGCAATGATGGCAATAGTCGCTGCTGAATCTGCCTCCCCTACCTTGACAGCCACCGCCATTGACAAGATGCAGAACTTCGCTGCCTCCGTCCTCCTCCTCCTCTCTCGCTCGGCCAGCAAGGACGGCAAGTTGGAGCTGGCGCAGCAAATGGCAGAGAGAGCGTGTGAGGTGAGAGGAAATCTGGAGGACCTCGACGAGCTGGCGTACGTGCAGATGAAGGAGGGAAAGTTTTCAGCTGCAGAGCGCTCCTACCGCCTCCTCCTCCTCCGCCATCCCTCCGCTTCCGCCCATTTTGCTCTCGGCGCAGCTCTGTGGGCTGACAGGAGGAACGTGACAGGAGCGATAAGAGAGTTCGAGCTGGGCCTGCAGCTGGATCAGGACAACGCAGAGATGCACGTGAAGCTAGGGATGATGATGGAGGAGGAGGGAGAGGAGGAGGGTGGACGAACGGCCTGCGAGCACTACAGGAAGGCTGTCGAGCTGAACGGCAATCACGACGTCGCCAGGTTCTTGCTGAGCAAGTGCCTGAACCTGCAAGGAAAGTTAGTGGAGAGCGCAAGCAACTACAGACATCTGCTGGGGCGACAGGAAGGTCATTGTGAAGCAAGGTACAACCTCGTCGAGGTTATGCACAACGCTCTGCTGTTCGAGGAGAGGGAGGAGAATGAGAAGAAGGCGATGGCCTGCATAGCCCAGCAGCTCACTGCCATCGGCAGAACCACCATCCATCCTCTACAGAGCCTTCGATTCGTTCCTCATCCTCTACTGAACGACATCATTGACGCGCACAACAAACTTGTCGTCTCCTCTCCCCTGCCTTCGGTTGCTTCCTGCTTCTTGCTCCTTCCATCTCCTCACAGGTTTTCTCAGGTCGCCCTCAAACTTCCTGTGATCAACATGAGAGTTGGGTACATCGCTTCAGCATGGCATGCTGTCCCTTCTCAAGTGATATCCCTCTTGCTGGGGTATGATTCCGAAAGAACTTCTATTGTCGTCTTCGAGATTCAAGAATCCCAACGATCGATGTAATAACTGTTTCCTTCTCCTTCTTCCTGATGTCTATCAGCAACTACATGTCCAGCCTCCTTCCCCAGGGATTCAGGAGGTGCTGCTTCAAATTCTTCCCGCACGGTTCGACACCTTCGTCCATAGGGGAGCAAGTAAGTTCCTGCTCGAATCACCCACGAGCTTCTCTTACATTCTCCTCCTCCCTGCTCCTCCTCATTCTCATCCTCCTCCTCCAAATCCTCCTCCTCCTCTCTCGTTCATCTCACAGGTCAACTCCCACTCGCTCCATGTCCTCGTGGACTTCGACGCCGTGAGATCTTACATTCTCTCTTCGTCATCCTCCTCACCCTCCAATCAGGTCGTCTCGAGCATCCATGACCAAGTTCTCTCCCACCAGCCCGCCATGTTGCAAGTCAGTCCCTCTTCCTCCTCCTCCTCCACCTCCTCCACCTTCACCTCCTCCTCCTCCTTCATCCTCCTCCTCCTCTTCCTCCTCCTCTTCCTCCTCCTCTTCCTCCTCCTCCCTCCCCCCTCCTTGATCTCCTCCTTCTCCTCCAGTAACCTCAGCTTCAACAGGTCCGAGGATGGGGGTCGAGGTGGCCGGCAACAGCAAGAAGCTCATCGTTACCCATGCTAGCCAGTGACTGGTGACGTTACGCTTTCCTTGCAATCTCCTCCTCCTGTCCTCCTACTTCCATCCTCCTCCTCCTCCTCCTCCTCCTCCTCCTCCTTCTGCACATCCTGCTCTCCTGCCATGGCTCAGTTTTTGGTTCTGCCCAGCTCCCTTCAAATAACGATTGCTCCTGCCCTTCATCTCATCTGCCATTTCACTTGTCTTCCCTTCTCACTTGTCTTCCCTTTCGCCTGCTCTTCTTCCTGTTCATTCCCGTCTACCCTGAACGCGAGCGCAGGGTGGCAACTCCACCAGAGTTTGCAGCGAGTTTCACAGAGAAGTTGATCCTGTTCAAGGCTCCTCCGCTGCCTCCTCACATCGAACAAACTCGAGACGCCTCTCCCCCTCCTACTCCACAAGTAGCAACTTGCCGCCTCTGCTTCCCTCACTCAGGTTTGTGACCCCAGGCTCCATCTCGGCGCAAGCTTCTCTTCCTCGGAAGTCTCTCGTCCATCCAGACAAGGACCCTGCAGCAGTGGAGCAGCATCTTGCGATCTTGCGCTGATCTCGTCCTCCCCGACACTCTGGTGGACAAGCATGCTTTTCAGCTGCTTCCTCGTTGACGGGCAGGCAGGGCAAGCAGCCGGTTGAGTCTGCCTTCTCCTCCCGGGGACAAGGAGAGCTTGTCCTCTGGCATTCCAGCAACCTCACGGAGCATGCGGTGACATCGAGCGCGGTGCTGGAGCTTCTTGGAGGGAGCGACATCCTCCTGGTCCTCAATGCCCTTGCTTCCTCCTCCTCCTCGTGACTTCGATGTACAGAGAGATCCAGTGGCAAGTAAGCTTGTGCTCGAGCATGGCCTCTGCTTCCTGTCTGCTCCTGAGGAGTCGCTCATGTCTCGCATCAGCGCCTCCTTCCTCGTCGCCTTCGGCGGCTCGCAGGGGGTCGCAGGGATGGCTCGAGGGGAGGAGGAGTACCGCAGACTGGCTTGCTCCTGCACGCGAGGAGAGAGGAGGGAGGTGACACGATTCTTAGTCTTTGTGCTACTCCATGAAATGTTCAGCAGGTGCACCGGGAAAAGATTTTGGAAGGGCAGAGTCGAGCATGGGAGCGAGGGATGCGGATGGCTTTGGAGACTTGGGCGATTGCATCAGGGAAGGCGGAGGGAGAGAACGAGGAACAAGGAGGAGTAGGGGAAGTAGGAGGCAGAGGAGAGGGAGGGAAGGCAGTCAAGACGAGGAGTCATATCCTACTGTCCGCAAGTTCCGGTCGTCCAACCCGTTTCATTCCACTAAAGTTCTGATAACAAGACTGGCAAAATTCCTCCTGCTCCCCCTCCTGTGTCTCCAGCACCATCATGTTCCTGGACGTCTCCCTGCTCTATCTCACATTGCAAGAGACTCACTTTGTCCGCATGAAACCGCCTCGCAACCATCCGGGACTGCAACAAAGCATGCGCTCGCCGATTTCGATTGCGATGAATCAATGAGACGAGGGGAAAGGTGTGGGGGAAGGAAGAGACAGCAGGGGCTACTGGAAGAACAATGGAGAGCTCCTAGGAGGAAGAGAACTGGTGACTTTTCTTCCTGAGGAAGAAGAGAACGTCTCAGGCAGAAATCCCAGGAAGGCTCGTCGGGATCAGGAGAAGGGGAGCGAGGGAGCGGGAGGAGGAAAGAGGGCGAAGGAAGCGAACAGCGTTGTGGTTATCCCTGGAAGCAGCCTTGATGGACGAAAATGGTCCCATGATCATCAAACTCGCCGTTCCCATTCATACGGTAGACGCCATGCAGTACCCACCTATCTTCGTCGGCCCTCCACTCCTTCTTGAGCACCTCGTTGCAAGCTGCACACTTGGCTAGCCCATCAAGATCGTCTGCTTGCACGACATTCAATTTTATCGGCTCCGCTGCTTTCTCTATGCCGTCCTTGCTCTTGTTGAAGTCTCTCAAGGGAGTGCGCGAAGAGGAGATGTCCTCTGCCCTACACCACTCACTAATGTTCCGAAACCACAACCGCTCTTGATTCCCAAAGCGCTCCTTCTTAGCACGGTTTCTCTCAAATAACATGTCAAGATGACGATCTAGATCCTCTTTGTTCTTGAATCTCCGCCCATCAATCTTTGACGTGAAAGGTTTTTCTTCATACAGAGAGCTTATCACATGCGTGACATCCATGCTACATTCAATCATTAAAGGAGGCAGAAAAGGGCAGAGGAGGTTGCACATCCAAATGCAAACCGTCTCACAAGCCAAAATACATTCGATAAACAAAGAATGGAATGGTTTATACCTGGATAAATCCTTCGCAGACAGCTTTCGTTTGTGTCTTATAGGCGGCGAACTTTGTAGCAAAGCGCATGGCGGATGGCTGGCAATGCACATATCCCCCACGTCGTAGTGCTGAGAGCTGGCAGGATTCTGTATCGTCTGTGCATACTCAAGAGAACATGAGGTGGACCGGGTTTGAAGTAAGTTTGCATGCAATACGTTCATCGATCCGTTATGGCCAAACTGACCATGAACAGGACCCAAGTTAAGTTGAGGATGCCCAAAGCTAGTGAATGGTTCACGAGTGCTTAGATAGGGAGGATTATCATTCACAAAAGATGCAGTCTTTGACGGATGACCAGAGCCGGAATACAAGAACTGAAGCAAGAAGACGTGAGCTGATGCAACTACTTCGCAACATGCATACCATGTTGCCCGTTGACGAAGACGACGGTTCCATCTGCAAGGAGTTACGTCCCATCGGCTGGAGTCACCATGGTTAACACCACACAAGCATGAAAGTCATTTATGATTCTATACCATGTGCATCGACCCATTCGGCACCATCATTGGTTGCTGCAGGTTATTTTTGTCCCTCCATGAAGGCATCGAAGGGGTTTGTAGAATGCTCATCATGCCTTGGCGAATCTTGTCGACAACACTCTTGGAAAAAATATTCTGATCGGACCACCTAGGAAGAGATCAGCAGGCGGCATCGATCCATCATCTGTTTACGTGTTCAGTAGCTTGATCATCTTTTGCTTCACGGTGTTGTCCGATTGCTGAAAGGCGTTGCATAGAGTCTGATTCAGGTTCAACAAGATAAGCTTGTTGTACACTCCTCCGACGTTCTTAAGAATTGAGTCCATAACGTACAAAGGAATCAATTTCTTGTCATTGACTGCTTTTTCAACACAAGTTTCGATCGATCGCACGATTGTGTCACACAAGTGTTCGTTTTCAACATAGTCCTGAGCGACCATCGTCAATGCGTTGATCTCCTCCTTTGCTGCACGATTCATCAACAAAATCTGTTCTTCTAGGTTCGCGGCAAGTTCATGAGCCTCATCCATCCCGCCTGCCTGCCTGCTGCAACAGAGTCAATAGTCCTGCAACAATCGCAGAAATCCCCAATGCAAGCTGTTATCCCGCCTTGTCCCTGTATCCCTCAACCTTTCTGATCACAAGATTGCTTCTAGTTCACTTCTGATCCTCAACTTCTCTCCCCGAACTCTCTGCTGTCAACGCCATCACAAACGTCGGCCCCCAGTCTGCTATGGTCTTGTCTTGCCTCAAACTTTACTTGCCCTTTCCTTGACATCTCCTTCCATCTCGCCTGACTTGTTGCTCTTTCCGGATCAAAATTGTCTCCTACAACTCTCTCCATCCTCCTTATCCTCCCCGTCCTCCTCCTGCTCCTCCCTTCCTCTTTCATCGTGGCCTTGCCCTGCATGCAGGGACGATCGCGGTAGGACTACTCTAACTAGGACCAGTGTATATCCACCTCTCTATGACAACTCCCGTAGTCTCAGGTAAGACCCAGGTCTTAGAAACATCGGATGAGCAGTAGGAAACGGACAGGTACAAGGGGTGGGTGGCCTTGCGTAGGCTTTCAATAGGATGAAATAGGGTGGGGTGGGGGTACTCTTTGAAGATCCGAGTCCGAATGGCGATGACAGGTGCGGAATGCGCAGGAGGAGGAGGAGGAGGAGGAGGTGGTGGTGGTGGAGGGCGAGTTGATGGGAAACAAGGAGAAGATGTGAGGGGAGAAAGGGAGACGAAACAGGCAACCACAAGGAAGCTCTGTTGAGAGGAGGGTGCATTAGAGTTGTGCTCATCTTCAGAGTCACATGTAGAGATACAAGGGGAGGAGAAGACGAAAATTGCACAGAGGATTCAAATAAGAGAGACAACAGACTTCTTAGAGAAGAAATATCAGAAGGCCCCCGCAGAATGGCTGAGTTTCGAAATAACATGCCGTGCAAGGGCAAGTATGTTCTGTTCGAAGACCACGATAAACGTAAATTCAGGATAGGGATCCCAACAGATGAGAAAATTGATAGTGTTCAAAGGGCGTCCTTGAAATAGCGATTTTCCCAAATTTACATGATGACCAATAGCCGTGTAGAGTCATCAATCAACATGATTTAGTTGTGCAACAATGGCTAGCTAACTTCTGCTTCAATGTACAGTGAAAGCCATGATGGGAAATGATATCATGCAGTCAGGGCCGATGGGGACTGTTGGTGTAGTGGTACTCATTGTTTCACACCTTTCCATTGGTTTTCACCATGCTAGCAGAGTTCCGGGCAGACTTTCATTCCTTCGAAATGCGTAAAAGACTTTGTTGTCACCTGTTTTGCCCTGTTGATAGCTGGAAAGGTCGGAAAGGACATTCCGCCAATGGAAGGCATGCGAGTTACCATGGCTCCTCATTTAAGACAGCATGGTATCGGCACAGTCACAGCAGTGAATGACACAACGGTCCAAGGTCCGCTTCTTTCGTCTGATGTACGGTTATGTTTGACGTTTCTGCTTGCTCAGTTTGCTGGGATGGCGGTCTGGTGCTATCTTCAGGGAGTTGTTCAATGCTCGTTGTGACATTTAGCAGGTGGAAGACATCATCTACGGCTCCAACAACTTGTACGTGTCAGAAATAAACGAGGTACGGTGTTGGCAGGCGATGCTGGCAGAGGATGAGGGTTGAAAGCAGGGCTCCTCCTTCAGGATACGAGAAAATCTCATCGGCCAATACGAGCTGATCGATGAAAGGACCATCTATGCAATCGCGGAGGGACTTCAAGATGATCTTGAGAAGGCGGAGCGCAAAATTGAACAAATGCGAAATATGACAGACTTGTCCATGCATGCTGCAGAAGAGAAGGTTCAGAAAGCTGAGAAAACCATACTGCAGATGGAGCAAAACGCGATTCAGCTTCAGAACTCGGTCCGAGACATGGAGCAACAGGTTGCAGAGAAGGATCGCGTAATTCTTGCGCTCCAATCTGAACTCAGTAGTGCCAAGAAGTTGAAAGAAATAGTCGAAGTTAGGGCAGAGAGCGAGGCTAAGGCTCGTAGGAAGGCTGAGCAAGATTCGATCGATACTGCGGAGAGGCTACGTGATATTGTATCCAACGCAACCGAATGGCAGAACAAGTACCACTCCTTGAACTCAGAGTTCTCCGAGTACAAGCTTCAATATTCGAACTTCGAAGTCGTGCAGCGCGATCTCGAGGCTCGCATTGAGCTGTTGACTCAGAGTAACGGAACACTTACGAAGCACGTCACTGAGTGGCAAAAGAAGTATGTAAACAGCGACGATATTTTGGTAGAAAATCAGAAACTAGGTGATCGTTCCGTTGAGACCTTCTTTCACAAGATTGATGCGTCTGTTTTACAGCTGACGGGGTCAAGCAAGCAGAAAGGCTAATTGAGGAATGGAAGAACAAGCACAAAGCATGCGAAAAGGAACTTGCTGAGGCAAGATCGAGACTGAGTCAAACAGACATGGCTGCTTTTTCTTCTCGAATGTGGAATGAGAAGATTGAGTCCTGGCAGAAGACGGTTCTCGATCGTGACTCCAGAATCAGTCAGCTCGAGCAATCCATCATACGTCTGGAGGCAGAATGCTCGCGACTCACTCAAGAGAACAGATTTCTCAATTCCCAGGCTTCTCAGAAGATTGTCGACAGGTCTGCTGATGACAGCCAAGATCGATCACCAGGCCAAAACGTGGGCACAGTGGGGCTGGTGCTAGATAAGGATGATGATGAGATCTACGTTCTTGACATCATTTCTGGTTCTGCTGCAGAAGCTGATGGACGAATCAAGGTAAAACGAATGAGAAAGAACTTGATCTATTCTCAATGGCAACAGGTTGGTGATGTGGTGCTTGAAATCAACGGGCGAGCGGCAAAAGACCTTACGGTCACCCTTGTGCGTATCGTGTGTGACTGACTTGAAGTGCGTACTGATATGGGACCAGGCGAGCTTGTTGCTCCGAGGAGAGGTTGGCAGTGAATGCAACTTGAAGATGCAAGGAAGGGATGGACCGAGGTATTTTCGACTGGCATTTGACTCTGATCGCTGTTTCCTGATTGCTTGAACATGCAGCTACTCAAAGGTCATTACAAGAACTAAAATCATGCCAGTAATCAACGCAGACATCTCGATCTCACGTCCTTCTAGTGTAAGTATGATATAAGAACTGTGCGAGCCTCTCGAGTCAGCCAGTGAGCGGCGGGGTCATTCTCTCGACGTTACGCCCAATAAACACCTTGAACACGATCAGTGCTGTCTGCTGCCTGAAGCACTCTACCGATTCTCAGTTAGCCTCCTGCTCGCTGGAAGGCCAGCCTCGGGCACGTCGCAGAAGCCCAGTGGGCAGCCTGGACTCTGGCCTGGACTCTGGCCTGAGGCCGCAGTGGACCAGGCCCCCCGGCCCCCCAGGTCGATTGGGTGTGAGTGGGGAAGAGGGGACGAGGTTTTGACATGACTTTTTTTTAAAGCGAATGACTCTTGGCGATGGTCAAGGAATTGGTGCAGTTGGGGGGAGGAGGGAGGGGAAGGGGAGAAGAAAAATGAGGTTAACAGAATTGAGGAGAACAGATTGAGGTGAATCGTCGCTGTAAGGTCCTATGTTCATGAATGAAAGAGCATCTACAGCTGTAAATGAAATGAGGAGAAAAAGCAGGAAATGCAAGTTCAAGATAGACGAAAGCAAATGACAAGTATCGTCAGCAATTATGAACAGGATCTCCCACCTTGTTCAATATCAAAGATATTTCATTCATCATCCATCACTTGCTCTCTGTAACTGAGGCTGAATCGAATGTTTTCAGGCTTCCTTCTCCAGGTTCTGCGATCATCTAAGAGATGATTGCTTCCTTGAAGGGGACATGGCTCTTCCCTGTCCTCCTCATGTGCACAGCAGGAGTTCTAGCAATGATTGCCGTCCTCAGTTTCGTTTCGGATGCGGACGAGCTTCTTGTCAGACCTCTGCGTCACAGGTATAGCGAGCAGGATCATGTGGACGACGCTGCCAGAGCCGCAAAATTCATGCGAAGCCTGAGATCCAAGGAGAGGAACATGAGAAATTTGGTGCAGCTTCACAGGAGCATAGACGGGGAGGCGGAGAGCCGGCAAAGAAAGATTCACCTGCAGCGATCGATCCTTGCGGGGGATGAAGCTGCTAGTGGAGGCGACGAGCCGCCGTATGGTGAATCCAACGAGCTGCCTCCTCCTGCCTGCAACATCACAGAGATCTATGACTGCTACGCTGATTTCCTTGTAAAGAGATCCTGTTGCTTCATTTGAACCTGAACATCCTGCAGGCAAGTGAGCAAAATATCCCTAAAGCACAAGCCGAGGCGCTCTTGAGAGCTGACCATGAAGAATCTGCTCATTACTTTTGTTCCAACGCCAAAGTTCCCTTTCAGGTTGGAATGCATTGTGCTGTTTGAATGTTTCCATGTTGATATGAGATTCAGTGTGCATGCCGGGCCTGCGATCCGACCCTTCTCAAGTACTGGGACAACAGGAACCGTTTGCAACTGAGCGGTCGTCAGCTCATTCTTGCTTGATTTCAGATACTGGACACAAGACAGCAAAGCAAAACTTGTGATTGAACAGATGAGAAAAGACTCTCACTGTCACCTTGTTTCTTTGGTTCGATCTTTAGCATCTGTGTGAAACTTCTACTCACATTCATTTGCCCTTGTAAGGTTGGCAACCAAAATTTTCCTCCTGGTCATGGATGCCATGGACTCTTTTCGACTATCTGCACTCATGAATTGAATTCACATTGGTACATGAAAAGTTTTAGTCGATGAGACGGTAACCTGACATGTCCCAGGTGCCCTGCGATCCTGTCACCTGCACTGGGTCAATCTCGGTACGGAATCGCCCAGTCCATGCTGAATGACAAGACGGTATGCGTTGTACATGGTAATCGTGTGGAGTTTTGACATAACGATGTCAAGGAATGGATGACGTACGATGGCACGTGCAAGACTGAGTTCAAGCGCGACAAAGAGCGCGAGGTAAGCATCAGTCGGGCGGGAGATCGTGATGTGACGGTGCACTATCAGTGCAAGACATTCTTCAGACAGAGCTATGACGCCCAATCAAATTACTGTGAGCCGATGCACGAGTGAGTGGTCCCGGGGACGCTCTTGACCCGTTCGACATGTTGATCTTTGAAGCAGCTTCATCAAGTGCATGTGCGATGCATGCGAGGATGACGTTGAGAGACTAACACAAGGGTGCAAAACTTTCTCCTCTCGTCTGAAGTGCCACCCACACCTTTCCTCTTCAGGTTTCATCGATACAACAGATGCCCGTCCATACAGAAAGTGTCAGAGCATGACGCAGCATGTCAACTTTGGTATCAAGATGAGTGCGAGTTCACTCCGGGAAGAAACTTCTGTGAGAACATTCACGGAAGCGAAGCATGGAAACGTCTCCAGCCTCCTCCTCCTCCTCCTCCTCCTTCGACCTGGGATGAAGACGGCATGGACTGGACTACCTACTGCTCTTCGGTGACGACTGCTCGTCTCTCGTCTTCGAGGCTGACCCTTCTCAGGTGGTCGAGAACCTGAAGGACAACGAGGACGAGCTGGACTCGACCCTGGGGTTGGGGTGGAAGGATTGGTGCAAGCAGAAGCTGTCGGGTCAGGTGAGCGAAGGTCCTTGCGCTGTCGGATGATGACGTGGCTGGTAGAACGTGACGGCTGAAGAGGGGGGGCTGCCCAACGGAAGCGGGTTGAACTCGCACGCCCGCCTCCCGATCTCTGGCTTGCCTGCACCGCGTGTGAACGATCACGACGACATGGAAACTTCAGGTCGTTCTCCATGGAGGAGGGAGAGGAGCAGGAGCAGGAGAGGAGAGGAGGAGAGGAAGAGTGAAAAGAGGAGCAGGAGGAGCAGGAGCAGGAGCAGGAGCAGGAGGAGCAGGAGCAGGAGCAGGAGCAGGAGCAGGAGCAGGAGCAGGAGGAGGAGGAGTTGTGACTTGTTGGATGCAGGACATGGCATGCACGAGGTACCGATTCCCTTCGATAGAATTCACGCGTGAGCGAGTCTCCCTGTAGTCATAGCAAAGAAAGGACCTTTCGTCCTACTCCTCCCTGTTGTTGCGAGATGAATGAAACGCCGTCAGCGACCTTTCGTCCTACTCCTCCCTGTTGTTGCGAGATGAATGAAACGCCGTTGGTGCCGCCTAGTCAAACTCTGTCCCGACTGACAGCCCCCGTTCGACGGCACGGATGTCGACGAGGGCTCACTGATATCGTGCCCTCGCCCTGGACCGATCTGTCACCCTCCATGCTTTCGAAAGCGGTCAAGTTGACTCTTGTTCGATTTCGTATTGACTCGTCGGCTGGGCTGACGATCGACGACCTGGGCATGTCGGCGGCGCTGGAGCGGCGGAGGCAGGAAGGAGCGACTTCGCCGACTGCCCTTGAGGTGACTGACTGACTGACTCTTGACAAGCGTGACGGTCTGCGTGAAGATCATGGACGAGATGACCAAACATCTTCCCGGAAGTGATGAGTACGAGAGGCTCTGCAAGTCGTTGAGCAAGATGGTGCAGGCGAGAGCGCCAGGTGAGGAAGGAGGAGGAGGAGGAGGAGGAGGAGGAGGAGGAGGAGGAGGAGAAGGAGAAGGAGAAGGAGAAGGAGAAGGAGAAGGAGAAGGAGAAGGAGGAGGAGGAGTGATAGGCAAGACTCACAAGTCACGCAGGGGCAGCGAAGATAGAGTGCGATGGGCTACCGATAATACTTCTGATGAACTCCAAAAGTGCAGATTGCATCGAGGTAGGAGTAGAAGAGGCGAGAAAGGTCATCATGAATCACAAGAGCTCCTCTACCATCGTCCCAGCCATCAGCATGAGGTCGAAACTTGTCCATCTCGGAGCAGTGGAGACGCTTGTCAACATCACGACCAACTACAAGCTACGATCAGACGTGAAGGAACATGCCCAGCAGCTCCTGTCTTTCTTGTGCCGCACGTCGGAGGGAGGCAGCAACCTGATGTTAATCCTTGAGAACGAAATCACAACTGTCTTCATGCCCAAGACCGAGACAGCAGGCCATCACAGCAAGATCCTGCTGATACTGAAGACGCTCACGTCTGATGAAGTACAGCTGAAACCTTTCTACACGAGATTCGCACATGAAGTGAACGCGATCGATGACTTCATCCGAAGAATGCTAGCAGCTCAGCGGGTCTTCATGACCGAGGGACATCACGAGATCTGCGCAAAGGAAACACCTCTGCTATGCCGACAGTTGGTGACAGGTTTGCCGCAGGTGCTGAAGATGATACACAAGATCTTGTCAAAGTGCTACCCCCGGCTCTTGGATGACAGCAAGCACACGTACTCTGAGGTCATGCGAAGGTCGTCAGGATCGAGCAAGGAGTGCAAGGATGACAACGACGAGAACGCTTGCGCTGAACAGTCCTCCTCCTCCTCCTCCTCCTCCTTCACCTTCCACTGCAACCTGAGAGACTTTGCTCCTGGAACCATCACATGCCTCCTGGAGCAGCTGGTGGACCTCGACAACTACGGCTGCAGGCAAGAGGAGATTGTGAGTGATGAGCTGAGAATCCGACGACTCCTTGACGCGCCTGCCAGCGATGCGTCTTGCGCACCCTCTGCATGCAGTGCGAGAAGAACACAAGCATGCTCTCTAGCGCGATCCAGCGCATGTCGCAGGTAAAAACATGTTAACGAGTGTGCGAGGCTGAAGGGGCACAGTCGCTGCTCGACGCGGGTCTGAAGTACATGAAGATGGTAGCGTCGCTCGCCAGTCTGGAAGCGACTGGGAGAATTCACGAGGCTTTCGACGAGAGTATCTTGTACCATCACCTGACGCAGATGCAAATGATGCGATCGTGGAGGATGAACAAGCTGTCTTGTCAGCTGTCTGACTCTCAGAGAAGCGAATTCCTCAACACCTTGTCAGTAGCGTTACAACTTGGAGGTCTGCCTCATGTTGGTTGCGTCTACAGGTCTTCCTACTTGGTTGCCTTGAACAAACTGCTGCGAACAGAAGAGTCGCTGATCGACGAGCCCGGTGCGATGGACTTTGACAACCTCGTAGTCGCTGACATGTTGACAGGCAACCGCAGGATGATCAGATCGAAACATTTTCTCCGAGCTCCCTACCTGATCGACTGCTGTCGGATCGCGAACATTTCCTCCTCCTCCTTCGACACAACAGGCATGCCCTGCCTCACAAAGCGCCTCCTCCAAACCTTCTGCCCGCTCGACTTCATGAGCGTGATCTTGTGGCATAAGGACATCATCAACAGATACATCGAGTTCAACCCAGGGCTCTGCGACCCCAACGGGCCCTTGAACTTCGTCCTGCACTCGGACATGAGCTCCAACAGCATCGCAAGCTTGCAGGAGTACCAGAAGCTTCTAATTACAAGCTTCGAGACTCGAGTTGCTATCTTCAGGTCGCCCACTCTTCTTCTGCCTCCTTCTCCTCACCTTCTCTTCTCGCAGGCACCGGGCCGCAAACTTCGCCCTCACCGAGCTGGGGAACCAAGGGGAGGGCATAGAGTGGGGCATGTCGTCCGAGACTCTCCCAGGGCTTCGGATCATCTGCAGGAGGAGTCAGGCCCTGAGGGATAGCATGCTGGCCTTCAGGCATCAGAGCAGCCTCCCGAGAGTCAGTGAGTACTGGGCTCTTACTTGTCAGGTCCTCATGCAGGTCGCAGGACTGAACGTGAGGTTTGAGGGAGAACCAGCGTCAGGTCATGGAGTCACCAGAGAGTGAGCAACCTAGCCCCTCCTCTTGCCTTGCTGCTCTGAGCCTCCTCCCCGACCAGGTGGTTCCAGGTAGTGTCTTCTCAGCTCTTTGACCCCTCGGCTGGTTTCTTCCGGGTCACTCCCAGCGGCTGCTGCCTTGAGATCGACCCCAGCAGCAACAGGATCTATCACCTCGGCGATCACCTTCGAGTGTTTCGATTCTGCGGTCAATTCTTGGTAAGGAGAGCCCAGCAGGCGTCCAGCTGACTTGCTCTCAGGCGTTCGCTGCCCTCTATGACGTGGCCGTCGGTTTCACGCTGACCAGGAGGTAGACGGCAGGTGGGGTGGGAGAGCTCATTTTGACAAGTAGCGCAGCATCTTCAAGTTCTTTCTCGGGGAGTCGGTGGAGCTAGAGGACTTGAAGGAGGTCGACAAGGAAGTTCACAGCAACCTCAAGTGGATCGTGAACAACCCTGTGAAAGATCTCAACTTGACCTTTGAGCACTGCATGGAAAGCAATGGCAAGGTCCATGAGATCCCGTTGAAACCAGGAGGTACAGCGGCAGCTTCCCTGCTGTGCCATGACCTGCTCTACCCACTCACACTGACCGCAGGTCAGGCGATGTATGTGAACGAAACGAACAAGAACGAGTTTGTGTCGCTTGTGGTCAGTTGCAGGACAACAAGAGCTGTTCGGCAGCAGCTCCGCGCCATGCGCGAAGGTTTCAACTCCTGCATCCCCTCAAACGTGTATGAAGCCATCACTGTAGAAGACTTGTCTACGGTGATGTCATTGCAGCAGAGATTCACGTTCCGATGACCTTGTCTGCAGATCATCAGTGGAACGTGCGAGGTTGATGTGGATGATTGGAGAAAGCACACAGAGTTGGTAGGCTGGAAGGCAAGTGACAACGTCGTCAAGTGGTTCTTCGAGATGTTGGAGCAGGCGAGCAACGAGTTCAGATGTTGTGTCCTCAGTGAGACGATGCTGCTGTTGTGGATCGGACTGACAAGAACTGCTCAAGAATTCTCCTGCGCGCTGTCTCGCCCCCCTGCCGGAGGTTTCCGTCGCATGCCCAACAAGTTTCGGATCTGCAAGACAGAGCTGCCACTTCCGAGGCTGCCAACCGCGCACAGTAATGTGAGAGAGATGTTCGAATGCCTTCTCACCCTTTTCTTCAGCTTGCTTTGCAGAGATTGTACTACCCGAGTATCAAACTCGGGATGACTTGATTCAAGCCTTCCAACGGGTTGTGGTGGAAGGGATGGACAACTTTGGGATCTCCTGACTCTCTCCACTGGGAAGCAATCGCCCCCTTGTGACTGAAAGCAGGTCGACGAATGAAAGCAGTCAGTCTTATTCTTACGTGTCACCTACCATGCTGCCCCTCCTACTCCTCGCCCCCTCCTCTGCCCCGCGCTGACGCCATGTGTCGCGCTATCCCAGGTTTCGGCATCCATGCTCCCAGTTCAAACCCCAACCCCGCCAGCAGACTCGCGGCCGCTTCTCTGTCTTCACCCCTGGAGCAGCAGCACCCGGATCAGAAAGTTTTACAGCTCGGAGGAGGAGCCTTACCGTGAGAGAGGCAGCCTATCAGCCAAGCAGAGGGAGATCGAGTCGCTGTGCTTCGACCCCACCCTCCTGCACGCCCCCAGCAGTCTCTCTGCCACACCCTCGTCGAGATACGCCAAGACAGCCTCGAAGACGAAGATGGTGTGGCAGTTTGTCGCCCCTGACTCGCTCGCCATCGCTTCCTCAAGAAGTCGTTCGAACTTTTCCACTTGATTCAGGTCTACCCCGATGGAGGTGTAGTGAACCTGCCGCAGGGAGGGTCGTCTCTTGAAGAGACGCTCGTGTAGCATCCTCTGCTTCAACGAGGCAACAGCTGGTAGATCGATCTCGATCACTCGCTCTATCCCCCGCGTGCTAAACCCGCGGGTGTCAAAACCCGCACCTACAACTACCATCCTCGTGCTCAGCTTCTTCTCCATGTTCTCGCGGATGACAAGGTCGCACTCCCTGCTCAAGAACGAGGTTCTCATCGCTACATTCTGATGGTGCAGCCGAGGAAAGAGGAGACACAACGGCCATCCAACGATCCACCGCGTGAGTGCAGGGAGCATGTCGTATGCTATGCCGCCGTCAGCGACCTTGGACCCTCGAGTGTTGCCTGCGATCGCCTTCCACCATAGCACAGAGAGATTGAAGTGATTGTCCCATGCTGACAGCGGGTCAAACGCATGCAGCGCCTTGAGCATGACGCGGAACGTCTCCCACGCCATCTTCCACACCCACTTGGGAGCGAGGAGCGGAGGCTTCACCTGCAGCTCCTGGGCGATGGCGAAGAGCCTTGAAGAATCCGAAGACTTCACTCCCCGCACGTCAAACCAGGTCGACAGCATCCTCACGTCCGTCCTTGCTGACCTCCCTGTAGCAACAATCCCTTGAGCTCGCCGGGGAGGCCTGGTCACGTCGACCCCCATTGCAGCATGGCGAGGAGGACGGGGAAGAGACTGTGATAAAGCTGCGAAACAAGCATGCTGCATACTGCCCTTGAGCTGCCCTTCGCTCCCCCTCAAGCATACCAGCGCCAGGAGACAGCCTACCACCGCCCTCCTCGCCATCTCCCGACAGTTTTTTAATAAGGCTGCCTCAGAACCCGTTGAGTCTGCTCGTTGGCTCGTAGGACAACGGAGGGGAAGGACTGACAAGTCGAGGAGAGGAGGAGGAGGGGGGAGAAGCATGGCTAGACGAAGGAAGAGGAGAGCAGGAGACAGAGGCATAAGTAGGGACGAGCAGAGACAAGAAGAGGACACGCAGCACGAGCCTCGTTGCATGGCGAACAGGTTTTCAATTTTCGCGACATTGTTTCTGTTGCTCAGCGCACAGCGTGGCGGCTCTGTTCGGGTTGAACAGAGCGCCTTCATGAGAGAGAAGGGAATGCAACTGAAACGCAAGGGGATGCATGTCGAAGGTCCGAGCACGACATTGTTTCTCTCCTGACCTGACCATGGCGCTCAACCAGCGTTAACAGCGTTTGAAAGAGCCGTGCAGATGAATCCAGCAGACCCGGCAAGTGTGATCGCCCTGACTCAGGCTTCTCTGCAAGTCAAGAAGAACAAGACGGAAGTGCTGCGCATTCTTGACGACGCTCTCGCCAACTCTCCAGACTCCCCTGAATTGATAGCAACCTACGGTCTGTATGCAGAGACTTTGCTCAACAACGCACAGATTGCAGAGGCTATGTACAGGTCGGAATCGATGATGAAGAAGAATTGATTAAGTCATTAACACGTGATTGAAACAAAGACGGTCAATTGAGATAAATCCGAAGAATCCCACCACCATAAACAACCTAGCGTCTCTGATCGAAAATGTGAACAGAACGGTAATTTCATCATGATGCCAGTCCATGACCTGACGTGTCATCTGAAGGAAGCAAGCAGGCTCTACAACATGGCCCTTGCACTAGGTCATTTCGATGTTCTATGTCGATTGCGATCGTGAGCGCTTTCCAGACCCACAGAATGTGCCGAATATGTGCAACTATGCAGGATTTCTATGGAAGTGCAGCACTTTGGAAGCGGAGGAGACTGCAGCAGGGAGGAAGACAGAGAGAAGGCGGCAGGTGCGGCAGCTGCCAAGCTCCTGACAACCGCCTTGACGTTGGAGCCAAACAACGCGCATGTGCTGCTCAACTTCGGGGCTCTGATGGAGGTGAAGGGAGGTGTTACATTCGAAGGTCTGATTGGAATCTGAAGGATTGGGCTGAAAACTATGCGCTTGCTAAGGAGATTTATAGAAAGGTCTGTCAATTCAGTCCCATGGTGATGGACAGAAGTTCGTTGAGTGGCTGCATACTTGATTAGGCGCTGCGCATCGATCCAGAAAATCTGAACGCCGTAGCGTATTTCAGCAGAACTTTGAGAAAAGAGGTTGGTGGATTAGCCTACGGAGATCGGCAACTGACCGACGGCAATCAGGGTCAGTACGAGAAAGCCACAGCTATACTCAAACGATCCTTAGCGAAGCATCCTTCGGACAATACCCTAAGGCGAGAACTGTGGCGGGTCAACGTAAGGGCCCTTGGAACATCTTACCTGTTCTAACATGTGTCGTTCGAAACAGGCGCAGATCAAGATAGAGAATGAAAAGAAGGTGCGTGTTGGTTGACATTGAGACCTGCCCAGTGAGCTGTACCGCAACAGGAATCCATGGGTGGACACCCGATTATGAGAGGGGTCTTCAAATCGTATGAGGAGGATAGCAATGACCTGGACGGACTCGGATGAACTTTCCTTGTCGTAAATACTCTTTACAAACTTTCAATCTACACCTAACATCTCACTGACTTATCGATACTGAGTTGCGAAAATTCACTCTATGCAGAACTTCTCACTGACTTGCCGATACTGAGAATTCCTTCCACTAGACCATCAATGAATTGATTCACAGGGCCCTTGGGGGTGTCGAGCATGGGGTGCGCCGATATGTTCATATGCACATCCTGTGTCTCCAAGCTGACCTGGGAGGTTTCGATGACTCGTTTGACTTCATTCTCTTGCTTTATCTCTTCGGGAACAGATGAACGCTGATCATTGATCTCTGTCAGGTCTGACTGTTGATGTTGACGATTGATCTCTGTCAGGTCTGACTGTTGAAGTTGACGATTGATCTCTGTCAGGTCTGACGATTTATGATTGACCTTGCGATCGACCTTTTGGGATACTCCGGTGGTCGCTTGAGATCCCCGCCTACGTGACAGATGCACCCCGTTGGAGGAGACAAGGTTGTGAGTTCCGTTAGCCTTGAGCTTCGTGTGCCCATTACCAATCGACTCTTTAATTGCCGCGTGCATTTTCCGAGGGGTATTCTCCCTCAGCTCCGTTTCTATCTTATCCAACCGCTCATGCATGGAATTCAGTTTGGCTGATAAAGTCTCCATCAATTTTGTCTCCGTCGGACTATCAAGCATATTGTGTATTTCAGTCCAGTTTTCGGAAGCCGCGCGATGCAAATGAATGCCCTTTGCTGGATCATCGCAAATAACAGCGAGAACAGCAGAAATGACACGTGCAGCATGATCCTTTTCAGTTTGAAAGTTCATCTCCATCGCAAAGTTGATCAGGCTACTGTCATGCTGTCGGAGCATACATTTCAAAAGTGTATGAAATGAGCTTCTGGGGAGCAGACCTTGCCGATCGCACAAGCCAGCACTCTGAACGTTTTTCTTCCAAAAGTCTTGAGTGATAATGATTGGGGGAATGAACCTCATCATCTTGAATCCATTTCTAAACTGCATGAAAGACAATTTGTTCTTCTGAACCCTTTCTATGCCTCTGCATCTCCAGCGATTGAAAAAGTAACCCAATCTCTTGAGTTCTGAAGGAGTCGAAGTCAAAGTCTGCATTATCCTATCACGATTGAGTTGCAAGAGCTTGTCGAACAAGGAGTCAATCTGAACCTCAAGCTCGTAGCTGTCGCGAGCATTGCTGATAGAATTCACCATTCTTGCTAGAGTGTAATCTGCATTGAAAGAAAACTGACTTTGTTCTTGAATTGCTTCTTCCCTAGAAGCATCCGAAAAGTTGTCAAGAAGCACAGCAATGACAACGTTCAACAAAACCATGGTTGCAATCAACTGAAAGGAGCAAAAGAAGCATGCTACACCGAATTCTTGATTGGTCTGCAGCCAAAGAGCTCTTACAATATCAGACCAGTTGTCTAGAGTCATCACTTGAAACATGGTGAACATACTTGTAAAGAAATCACCAAACAATTCGGGCTGTTGCTGTTTAAAAAACTGAACAGCAACGATGGAATAAATAGCAATGACAAGACAGACCAGCGCAAAAGCATTCACCATAGGGGGAATAGAAGCAGTCAGTGCTAAGAGAACCATTTTCAAGCTCTTGATTCGATTGAAAAGTCGAAAGACACGAAAGCAACGGAGCAGTCGCAGCACGTTTGCACCAGGAAGATTGTTTATGAACACGCTGATCAGAGAGATCAGAACAACACACATGTCAAACCAATTCCATCGTGATGAGATAAATTCCCAGAAGAAAGTTGAAAACATATTTATGAGTAACTGAAGAAAACGGTCAGTTACACATAACATGCAACAAAACATCAATAAACCTCAATCGTGAAAAAAATCGTGAAGAGCACATCCAAAATGGCAAACACTTCGTCTGTGCCGGAAGCAGAGTGCATCTGTGCCTCAAAGATATTGCAGATGAAGTTGCTGACTATCACTGCTGCCAGAACGAACTGACATCTGTCTCCCACGTAGAACCATCTCACAGTCTTTCGAATCATTTCAAATCTGCTCAGGTTCACGATCTCTGTGTCCTGGTGATACCTCAACAATCGTTGTATTCCTTCAACCCACATCTCAAGCTCGTCAACATTCTTAGTTCTGAACACGAAGATTCTTCCCCGAAAGAAACCATTCTTCGATGTCCCCAGAGCAAAGTCAAGATGCTGCAGATCCAGGCTTTTCTTGTCGATCTCTTCGTCAGGCTTTTTCTTCCAGACAACTTGAACTGAGCACTTTGGTATACCAGATTCATCATCTGCCTTTGGAGGCCTTGCCGGCATCACGATCAAATCATTGTCTGCCCCTCGAGAATGGTTCAACCCATCAGCTAACCATGTTATCTCTTCATATCGTATCGAGGTAATCGCTGGTGTCTTCGGAGTGACTGAGTAAGAGATTTCTTTTCTTGTGGCTTTTACCCACCTGAACTTGAATGAATGTCCACTCCCTCCTCGCTTCTCTAGCTCTCCTTGCAGCAACGTATCGTTCTCGTTCACCAGCTCGGAAGCAGCGTCTGTTCGAGCATCCACTACTCTCTCCATGGCGAGCGGCGGAAGTGACCTCAGACTTCACTGAACAGGACACTCCTTCAACCCGCTTTCTGAGGAGCCTCACTATCGCTGCATGCTTCTTCTACATCCCTGGAAGCTCATGAAACCCTGACATGGCTGTGAGCGGCGGCAGGCCATCGTTACCTGAGCTATCCGAGGGTACGGACCTACCTTTGGCTATCTCGGTACTTTTGGGGGTGGCAGCCACATTTAATCTTTACTCAAAGTTAAGTAGGAAGCCTGATATGAAGTAATAATCTTTACTCAAAGTTAAGTAGGCAGCCTGATATGAAGTAATAATCTTTACTCAAAGTTAAGCAGGAAGCCTGTGTGACTTTGAGTAAACAGTCTGAAGCCTGCACTGACTAGTATGAGAGTCACCCGGCACTTCCTGAGTGACGGTGGGCCACCGTGCCACGGTGTGAGTCACTGTCCGTCACGCCAGTGACGGTCACACCCGCCCGGCGGTGTATGGTCAGTGGCAGCTACCGTCACGGCGTACCGGCGCGGCGGGCCGCTCGGGGACCGGGCCACTACGGTCACCCGCCCGGCCGGTGCCGGGTGACCGGTCCGAGTCCGTCCGGGTCCGACGGCGGGTCACCGGCGGGTGACTCGGAGGCTGCGCGGCCGCCCCCGCCCCCCGGTGAACTGAAGGGCCGCATTGTCAGACTAAGCAGCTCCTGCTCGGCTGGGGTTCCGGGACTCAGGACTGATTCCGTGGCAGCTTCCGCTGCTTCGCCGCACTGAGTGAACTTCAAGTTCGGAAGTTCAACCGGGCCCGGCGGCGCCGCCGCCGGCAGCGGTTGATCGCCCGGCCGGACGCCGGGTCAGTCACTTGATTATTGATTTCAATATGTCCTCTTCTTTTTCAAATATACACAAAACATTTGGAACCTGTACCGATGAGACCTATCGGTTGTAGATCAAAACTGTAAAACAATGGGTAGGGTAGGTTATGTACCGGTAGTTTAATTATCAATTTCGTGGGTGTCCCCACAAAAGATCAAGGAAACTGGGTAGGTACTTGTACAGGACGGGTACTTTCCTCGATCAATCGAAGAGGGTGGGGTGGAGTGAGCTAATCGCTCTCAACAGCCGCGATGGCCATTGCGTAAAAGAGGGAAGGGAGTAGGTTGAGGAAGAGATGGACAGCTGCGAACTTGATGGAGACGAGATCATGTTAGAAATATTGAGACCTATCTTAGTTGAGAACAGTTCAGATAGTGTTGTTGAGAGTCGGGCTTGCATTCTTGAAAAGGTTATGTGGTATGGACTTGAGTGGCAGATGTTGAGCTTTCTCTGTGTGGGATGTCAAGTTGCAGCAGCGGTTTGTGTTGTTCTCATCTCTTGGTTCTTAAACATCTCTTGGTTCTTAAAAATGTTTTTGAGTTTTAATCCCCTTTGCTGCTTATGTTGTGAAAGTCATGCGTCACCCCGCTTGCTTGGATGTGTCGTTTGTTGAGTTCTATGCAGGTGGAGTGGGACTGGAGATACTGAAAAGGCTCCTCGCGTTGAGGGCGGCGAAGCAATGTCGAAGGCAACATGGGCACTATCTTTCGCACTCTGCTTGTCTCTCTTTGATTTCTGTGCCGGCTCATATCGATTTGGTTCTTTGTCGTGGCGCTCGGTGAACGAAACGGGAGTTGCACCCAACACGGTTGATTTTGAATTGGTAACAGCATGGGGTCGTAATTTTCAGTGGGTTTTTGTAAGCAAAAGCAACAATCCTAGAAGTGATGATTACCCGGTGGTTGGAGACAAAGTCAGGTTGACTGGTGTATACTTTGGTAGCAATTCCAACACCGGATCAGGAACTTCTCAAATCTTGTTCTACACAGGTCTGTTCCTATGATACCATCCCATAAAGTGAAAGCAAGTGTTTCAGGTGATGGAAAGCAGTACTTCGTTGATATTGTTGTCACCGCCTTTTCGAAGTCGGAGAATTGGATTATGGGAACTACAATGATTCGCCACACGTATTCCACTCCGTACAATCCGGTTGGCAAGACCAACTTTTATCCGACAGGCTTCAGGTGATTCTTGTATTTCTTACATGTCATATCAGCACGATCACACCTAATGCAGCTACCAAGCTTCCACGGGATCTTCCCTTGATGCGAATCAGCCGTACTGGAACACACCCTGGAAGGCGTCGTTTGTGGGCTGCTGCAGGGGTCAGGACCTTGCAGTCAACAGCAACAAAGTGTATAAATTGGTCTCGTACGTGGACTTGACCAACAGGCACAGCTCACTCGTTGCCCGCACGCTCCCCGTGGTGACGGTGAGTCAGAGTAACGGTGGAAGTTTCAATGTTTTGGCCAAGGATGCATTTGCTTTGGGTGGGGTCCCATTGAAGGTTTTGTCCGGTGGAAATACGAATTATCCTGTTGATGATAATACCGATGTGAGCATTACCTATCAATTGGCAAAAGCAAGTGATTTGGATTTGCCTGATTCTGAATTCACGGTGATGTCCGGAGCTAGCATCGACAACAACGGCCTTGTTACTGTTGGAGCAGGTACTGGAATTCGCCAGCTTGTGGTTCGTGTAGATCTCTGTACCGCAATACAGACGCAATATGCACAGTGCAATGCAAGCACACTGATAGATTTGAGAGTGCAGTACATACCCGCGGATCCGCAGCCGTTTGCTGTACAAAATGACGGTACGGATTACCAGTCAAGCCAGGACAAGTCCTTGCAGAATGTTGATGGATGGGTAGGATTCTCTATCTCGACACCAGTCACTGTAAAAAATCCTCAGATGCAGCCACTCGTCTTGAACTACGTGTTTTCAAATCTTACAGTTGAAGCAACTAGAACCTACAGACCGGATCAATCTCAGCAGGTGGCTGGAATGCCGTCGAATGGCTTGCCTCCAGGAGCTTCGCTCGCATCGACAGGCTCTGACGCGATTGTGGATATCGTCCTCGTCTGTGACAATCCTGAATCAAAAAGTCAGACGAATTCTCGAAGCTATCAATTCTTGAATGCGCCTGGGGCTCTTGATCTTTGGAATTCAGGATATCGCCCGATTCTGAAAAACGGTAGCTATACCATGAATGACATATACCCCAATGCTCTATCTTCGTCCTTGACTTATGCGGCTCACAATTTGGTGAACAACGGAAGTTTATTTGTCTCTATGTGGGTGAAAAGGAGCTCGAGTGATCCTGCCGTAACTGAGTTGTTCGTAACGAAGTCTAGAACGGAAGTTAACCAAAAGACTGCAGATGGTTACTATGTTGTTCCTGGGGCTACAACAGGATGTTCTTCCAAGTTTAACGAGATGGGCTTCATTCTGTTCAAGCGAGGCAATGGTCCAGCTATCACCAACATTTCGTTTTCCATGCGCCCATCGTGGTACAACGTTTCATCGCCGTTTCTCACTGCTCCCTTGTACTTTTCAACGGTGAGCATCAATATCATACAAAGGAGCCTTCGGTGGGTCCCAGAATATGCAGGGTATTATGTTTTTTGTTACGTTGGAACATACTGGCAACAGCCAACAGCTGCTCTTTCCTCGACGCAAAGATGTATCCTCTATAACATTCGTCAAGATCCGGGACCCAGCTTTGTGCCTCATGTAAATCTTAGCACCACCATGGGCAAATTACTTTACTTCAATGTGACTTTCAGAGATATCAATCACGCGGACGAGGTGGTCGCCATCTCCTTCGACACCCAAGGGCTGACGTTGACGGGAGCAACATTCCTTTCGAATGTGGTTGAGCCTTATGACGCCTTGTCAAAGTCCACATCTCGTCTGGTGCAGTGGTTTCCTGATTCTATGTATGGCGGGTTTGCAGGTAATTCCTTGCAGCCAGTCATTATCTATCTAACGATTGCCAAGGTGAGGTATGCTTCGTCGCTCAAGATGTGGGCGGTCCGTTTCGAACGGCTCAGTCTAGCCTCGGGTGCATCTTCATCAGCGTCGCTCGTTGCAAGTGGTACGTGCAGAGTGAAGACTCTCTTGTGCAAGTCGCTGCGCGATTTGCAACCAACTGGCTCCAAGTCTGGCACTTCAACCCAGACCTGCTGAACCCTGACATCGGCCTCCCTCCTGCCAAGGAGATCAACATTGGCCATCTCTACCAGGTTCTGTCTGACTCCCTTCCTCACAAGCTCTTCTTCGTCTTTTTTCTCGCCCTTCTCCCTTCCGCCTCCTCCCTCAATCTTCTGACTTCCTCACTGATCCCTATGTCTCGTGCACTGATCAGCTTCTTACTTGATGTGCAGATCGAACCGCATGATTCCGTGGCCTCCCTTGCGCAGAGATTTGGAACTTCGGACAAGCATATCTACATGAACAACTGGGACATCGCCAGGACCCCACCTGAGTTGATCCCTGTGGGCTACACGATTTGCATAATCCCCAATTCTTGCGTCTCAGCAGCGGCAGTTTGAGCTCCTGCGACTTTAGCTTACCCCTTCCTTTAACTCTAGTTTTTAACATCCCTACGATGCTTGCGATGTTGTCGCCTTCTATGCTACAGCAAACATGTTTAGTAAACCAAGGAATCGTTCTCCGACGTCATGGCCTCGCCTAACGTAGCTCGCCTAACGTAGCTGTCACATTATGACTTGGCAAAGCCTGTCGAATCACATCATTTTTGTGCGGTATGAGTTTGTGCGGTATGAGGCCCTTTGCTGTGACTACCGTCCATGGCTGGAAAGGCGGGATGAAGAGGAGGGGAGGGCGAGTAGAAACGAGAGTGATGAAGATCGTCCGCCATCTGAGTAAGCTCTGAAGGCTCGAGCCTGCTGCTATCATCATGTCCTCTGCCTTGATGAGGGATGAGGACGAGGACGGGGAAGGGGAAGGGGGCTTCTTGCGCCATGAGGGATTCTTCGGATTTGATGGCTTTGACGTCGAAGAGATGGACGAAAGAAGTTTGAGATCCTCTTACAGAAGTCGAGAACCAACTTGGTACAAAGGAAAGCAAGAAAGGACATCTCAACAAGGCAGAAACATAACGCATGCAAACTCAACGGATGGTGACGAAAGGCACGGTCATGCAGGAGCAACAACAGCATTGGACATGTCAGAAGCAAGGTCGTCGTCAAACTTGCTCTCTACATCTTATCTCAGGGACTCGTACACCGAAACAAGATCTTCTTTGGACAACCTGGTCACTCAAAACCTACCTTATGAAATCAAACACGATGACTCGAGGCCTTGTGTCACCAACCCTTCTCGCACACTTTTCGGTGTCTCGTCTCCAAACATTCAGCATCTGAGCAGGAAAGATGAAGTCTTCTCACTCGGGAAAGTGCCATCTTTGTTCTCTGACTGTCTCAACACTGATATCCCTGTTTGGCACACAGCAACGAGAAGGGTTCCGGGGGGGAGGCGAATGCTGCGGCTATTGAGACGTTGCGCATCCTTGAAGACCCTGAGGCTGAAATGTTTGACAAGTGCGAGGCGATCAAGCTCGTGCGACAGGCATGCCATTACGCGTTTACCTGTCCTGCTCTAAGTTTCATGTCAAGCTCGGCATCAACCATGACAGCAGCAAGTTTGCTTTCATGAGTGCGTTGAAGAGCGATTCTAAGATGGTGAAGCTTTGTGATGACGTTGTTCTGTATGAGATGATTTCTTCCTGCAGGTGCAATCGGCTGCCATGTATGAGGTGCCTTCCTCCCCCTCTCGATCCTCCTCTCTTCACTTCGTCTTCGCAGATGATTTCAGCTCCCGAGGGCTTTGAGGACCAAGAAGACAGGGTAACGTTCACTAGGATTCTGAGTCGAAACCTCGAGGCTCACAGCGAAGAAGACGAGTTCAAGGCGCAACAGCTGCATGTCCTGCCTCTCCTCATGTGCCGACTGAGTGTGACGCGTCGGGGCAGACCATCGCAAGGAGAGGAGAAGTTGTCGACAGCTACACACGAGGGATCATAGAGAAACATCTCTTCTCGCGCAACCCTGCCGTCAGGTTGGCTGCTTTGGCTGCCATCAAGACAGTATACGGCGGGCCCGACCCCTCCTGCACCGAGCGCTTGATCCGAATGCTCAAGGTGCAGGCTCGCTCTCGTTTCACGACCCTCACCAACGGCAGGACAAGGAAGCTAAAGTTCGAGAGCAGGCAGTGCGGACGTTGGAGGTGTGCGCAGCATGGGGAGGGAACGAGACGCTCGCGACAGCTCTCCTGACATGCCTGCAAGACAGTGACAGCGGCGTGCGAAGGTTCCTTGCCTTGCTCTCTCGCTCTCTTGACCATTTGGATCAGAGCAGCGACGGATGTGATCGTGAAGGCAGCGGCTGAGCGACCGACATCCATCGCCAAGGCTGTCTTGCGGCGAACTCTTGAGAGAGAAGGAGGAGAAGGCAAAAGGACGCTGCCTGTGACAGTTCAACTTGCCCTGGGCGTGCTCGACGAGGCCGGGCCCGCAGGTGAGAGCGAGGAGGGCTCGCGATGTCACTCATCTTTAATGCAAGATGCCGCTTCTCCTCCTTCACATGTCGGCCGCAACTCTCTCCCAGCCACAAAAACGATCGAAAGTCAAAGCATGAGAGGGATAGAGTGAGAAGCTATCTTCATAATTCCTGTTGGGCCGTCACAAGATGAAAGCAATCAACGCATCTCTCACATCAACATCAACGATGCGCACGTTTTGCACTTCCTTAACCTTGACCTGAGACAAAAGCAACTCAACAGACCCGACCGCAGACAAGACAAACAGGCTGACATTCTCAGCCTCCACTGATCCGTTGACAAACACTTCATGAGGAACAGGAGCATGGGGAACGCTTGGGCCGATGAAGCTTGTTTTCTGCGACACAATCAGGGAAACAACGACGGGAATCAGCGAAGTTCACACCTTCTCCTCCTCCTCGTCTTCTCCTGAATCATCCTCGTCGGCGTCCTGGTTGCCTGCGCTCGGGTTTTGGGTTGCCCCTGCATTGGCTGCAGACCATCAAAGGAAGCATTGCATCTTTACGTTCGTCTACCTCCCTTGTTCATCTTCTTCATCTTCTTCTTTTTCCTCTTCCTGCAGAGCGAAACGTTCAGGAGAGCTAAGACTTGTGAGGATCTGCATACTCGACACGCTTCTGATGCTTCTTCTCAACCTCCTCCGCACGCTCACGCTTTTTCCTCTCGAACTCCTCGTTTTCTCTCTTCAAGATGGAAAAATTCAGCTCACTGCCGACATGGCAAGCTCGGGAACCTGTCTCCGCGCCTCTCCTTCCATCCTTGCCAACCTGAACATCTCTTTCCTTCGAGACTTTCACGGGCTGGTCAGACGGGGACAGGAGAAAGAATCTATGATCACCTGTCGGTACTGATGGAAGTCACCGGAGCCAGCTCCTGCTGTAGACCCCATGACATTCTGCTCTCCAATGAGCACACGGTAGCGCGAAAGGATACAAGAGTCGCACCGAAACCTCCAAGACATCTTTCTTTGACGCCTCTTCCTTCTCTTGCTCAGTGGGAGCTGCTTGCACCTGAAGGCACATCATGATCACAGCATCACATTATTGACTGCCGTCCAGACATCAAACCAACCTCTGCACTTCGATCGTCGAATGAACGTGCACTTGTGTATCTCCCCATGGTTCAAGTGAGCTATCAACGGGTCAGCTCAACAAACATCAATACCTCGCTACATTGTCTCCACATTTGAACATGTAACATCATGGTGGGAAACTCAAAAGTCTCCTCATTCTTTATGCTCTTGACACAGCTATGGCAGGCACAACGGGCGAAAACCCTTTCACAAGGTAGCGATGAGAAGGATGGACGCAGTGCCGCTAGATCTCTTTGATCGATCAACTCCTCTCTTCCAAGCATCGCCCTCCTCTCCCTGTACTCTCCTTGCTCTCCTTTACTTCCCCCTCGCTAGCACATTCCCCTCCCCTCCTGTTTGCCATGGCGCCGCTCCTCTTCCTGCTGCCCTTTGACTCGAGCTAATTAAAAGGGTAGGACAGTGGTGCTGCCGCAGAAATGGCGCATGGAAGAAGGAGCGGGAGGGAAGGGTAACGACGGAAGGGAAGGATGAAGTCAAACATCAGCATGTCGAAAGCTCTTCGACGGAGTCAGGTCTTGAGCAGCCGGCCGGAGAGAGAGGAGGAGGAGGAGGATCGCGAGGGCGACGAGGAAGCGAAGAGCAAGGAGAGGTCAAGGTACCCCGATGAGATCTCGACCTTGTTCACCCGCGAGGTTTGGCGAGGTCACGCTGAACTGCATGCTCTGACTCTTCACTCACGGTAGGGCCTCGCCGCACCCATCCTCATCATCTTCTTCGTCCTCGTGTGGTATGGGCGAACGCCGGCAGTCGCATGCCTGGCATGGACCTTTGTCTTCATCACCTTGGCCGGAGCGTTTGAGGGGACAGAGGAAGGGCCGAACAACCTTCAATCTCAAGCCTGGAGTCTCGGACAGGCAGGTTGTCAAATCCTCATTTCAAGTGAACGTGCGTGACCAGTAGCGCGGCCCTTCTGCGGTCCTCAGGTGGGGTGCTGCTAGGGGCGACTTCGCTGCAGCGTCACGACTACCCCGTGCTGTTGGGTAAGAGTGAAGGAGCGGCCCACTCGACTCTGATCGCCCTCGCAGCCTTGACGACAACGTTGCTAATTCTCATCATCCTTGCTCCTCTCACAGAATTGAAGCTCGGTATCCTTGGAGGCACAGGGTCAAGGGAGAGGAGGGGAGAAAGAGGCATGTGTTGGAAGGGAGATTGTTAGAACTTCGGGGGTAGGCGATAAGCATCTGCTCATGATGCTTTCAGACGGGCTGGCGCTTCTTTCTTCGGGATTTTCAATCGGGGGAGTTTTCTTAGCAGGGTGCGAGACGTTCCCTTTCTTCTCATTCTGCTCCTTCCACTTGCCCTGCGGTTCCTGTTCCTATTCCTCTTGCTCTTGTTACTTCTTCTTCTTCCTCCTCCTCCTCTGCCTCCACTTCCGATTCTGATTCTGCCCAAGTTTTTTCGCAGGACCTGAAGCGTCTTTGTCCATGATCGCAATCCTTGTGGGCCTTCCTGCCTCTTCCCCTTCTTCTTCCTCTTCGTCTTCGTCTTCGTCTCCGTCTTCCTCTGCCTCTTGATCTGCCTCTGCTTCTGCCTGAGTTGCTGGAGTCAGGTTCCTGCATGGATCTGTGGCGTTCTCGGGGGCGTGGCTGCAAGCGTCACCCCTCTGCACCGATTTTACCCGGTAAAGTGAGCGCTACTTGACACTCTTGTAGCATGGCTGAGCTTACAAGATCGATCACGATGACATGTTGGGTCCTGACTCCTGCTTCTATAGGTTGCGGCCGGTCTTGGAGCCTTCTCTATCATGGCGGGTTGTTGGGGAGCTTCCCATGACCCACCGGTCGACAGGGAATACTGACAAGGCTTCAACGAGACAATACGAAACAACATGCAACCTTGTCATGCTTTTGGAAACAGCAACGTTATCATAGCTTTTGGACATAGCAACATCATAGCACTTTGGAAAAATTTATTGTATGATCTGCCCCTCAAAAAATTCTATAGGTGATCCCATGCATTCTTCATCTCCTTTGTTTTGTTCCCCGAGTTCATCTGCCGAGCAGATTCTTGGATGTCCTTGATGTCCATGCGTCCCTAACAAACAGGCGTTATTCCATGCAATCATCTACATCTCATCAAAGTTACCTGTGTCGGCATTGAAGGGATCTTCTGCCATTTTCTGATGGAAACCACTGCAAACGCAATTCCACCCAACAAGCACAAGCCAAGAGGTGGGAGCACGAATGGCATCCACTCAGTAGCATCACTAGCTGACTTGACATTCTCGGAAGCATAAGTTTGTGCTTTAATCCCCAAACGCGTTTTCGCTGCAGCTTTCTTCTTTACCTCGTTGAATCTTTGCACAATGCTCGGATGTTTCAAGATATCATGCAGGCTTCCCGATGATTTCTTCTGAAGTGATGCAGTGGCAACTGCAAGGCTGGCCTGTTTCGAATGCGTTGATTTTGCCAGATCATGCAAGGCTTTCATGTTATTGTGAGTCACGCTGGTTTGCAATGCATCGTCTTGGTTTGACGCGATCGTTTCTACAGAGATGCAACAAAGAAGGAAAAACGTTGCAATCAATCGGTTCATCTTAACTTAATCGTTTGATAGGGAAGCGAATAAAATAAGAAAATTCGAGGCCTTCAAGGAATTTTGCTTGTCTCAGAGGTGTTGATTTCCAGAGATTTGAACTTCTTTGTTATCTGATCCTTTGAGATTCTTCGTAGCTGGAAAAGAGAGAAGGGAGAAACTTGTTGTATAGGAGTGAAACCTGAAGGGATCTGCACGGAGACCAGAGGATGCGGCGAACTACAGGAGGATCGTCGTTGCAAGCTCAGCAGGCCATGCGAGGATCGTTGAACCTGAAACCAACAGGATGGCTGGAGGCTGGGAGGAAGGAGGGGTCCCCTCGTCGGAATAGGGTTCCATGATCCACCGGTACTCTTTTCTGGTATCATAAGGGGGTAAGGTTGCCAAAGTACCGGTACATTCATACCAGCATTTCTGAATTTCAGGGTAGAATTGTGAGGTAGGGTACCTTTAAGATTGACAGGAGATCTGTGGGTACCTCAAAGATGGGGTGGTCCTTCTTTGCCTTTGATAGTTTGATGGTGGGGTAGGTACTATGAACTAAATAGGGAACTTTGTGGGGATGAAAAGGGGTGGGGGTACTCCCACCCACCATTTCTATTTCCGGTAGCATTTTTGGTCAATTTTCATCCTGCAGTGGGAAAAATAATTTGAAAAGTTCTTGTCATGTTTCAAATCACAACGAATTGTTTTCTATTCTTGGTATCAGTACTTTAGAGATTTTCGGTGACTATCCGACCACTGATACCCGGGGGCCGGGCCGGCCGGGCCCGGGGCTCAACCGTCACGGTCACTGGCGAGTCCGTGGCAGCGAGTCACTGGCAGCGGACACCGGCGGCGACTCTCATCAGCCCGGTCCGACCGGGGCCTCCCGGAGTCCGGGCCCCCGGGCCCGGCGCCGGGCCGGACGGGCCCTCGGACCGGCTAGTAGGCCCGCTACTGCGGCCCGGCGGCCCCGGGGCCGCGGGCCGCGCCGCGCTCGGACTGCACTGTGGCAGTGCGGCGGGCCCCGGGCCGGGCCGCACCGGGTCAGCCCGGCGGCCGGGCTACCGTGACGGTACTCCCGGAGTCAGCCTCGTCCTCGTTCACGGCCCCCGTCACGGTCACGAGAGTCTGGTGACCGCCGATGATCGGACGCCGAACCCCGATCTTCGGCGTGAGTCGAGTCGGGCTCGAATTCCTCGGTAGACTCCCGCTCAGCCTGGCCCGGCCGCACGGCCGCCGCCGGGTCGCCCGGGTGCCAGGGCCGCGCCGCAGTGACGGTCACCGGCGGCGGGCCGGGGCAGCACGCCTGGCAGCACTGGCCAAAATCATGTGGAACTGCACTGCATGCAAAGGAAGAATAAATGTATGTAGTGGAATGAAATATCATGCAATTGTATCTACAGTTCCTGCGACTTGGCGCCCTGAAGAGAACTTTCTGAACCGTTTGACCGTACTAGTGACCGTCGACACCGGCGTGACCACTAAAGCTCGTCTCGACCAAGCGGACGTTTCCCCCGGCTTGCTGAAAGCACATTTTACCATGGTGACAACGGCTTGCTGCTGTGTGCATCGTAGCCATGATCGAACCTCCCGACAGTCTTGTGCTTGGCAGACTGTAAAGGAATATCTCAGAGTCACATTAGCATCATATGGGGATCGTTGGTAGACTCGAACAGGAACGCAAGAGGGAAAACATCAAGCAGAAGTATAAGGTATCAAGCGCGGATGAAACGGGTAAGGAAAATACCATAGCCAAGACTTGCGCCATCGCCTCCTCTGGATTCTGGATGGCATCCTTAAAATCCGGGACAGTGTTCATCTTAACCGGCTGCTTCTTCTTGCCATAATTTGCGAAGAGTTCTTCCATGTGCACGACATTTACGATAGAGTTGTACATGGTCAATCTGCATCGTTCCATCAGTTACTTGTCGTACATAATGCCGTGATGGAAAAGCATCAATTTGCAAAGTCCTTTTCAGGAAAGGTCATTTGCAAAAGCTAGCATTCTTTGTCGATAAACATTCGCATCACTTACAATACAACAGATTATTGAAAAAACATTCTCACATACATCAAAACGAAGCACAATGTTTGCGGTTTACAAACTGGTCTCATAGTCAGGGATGTTCTACAAATATTCACTAGTAAAGAATCATAACACGGGCAACAATCTGATCATTCTCCCGTCTTTCTCGTTGCAGAATTCATATTTCGCGCCTGACTTTCAGCAGACAACTCTTGTTCATTAAGCCTTTACATCAAACCTCGCTTTCATGCTGTCTCCTACCATCTCGCCCTCTACTTCTTTCAGCATTGCGGAGAATTTTTGTAGCATGCCCGAAATAAACCAATACCCTACCCCCACTGTAGTGCAAAAAAATACCCGTGTGAATCAACAGTACCCTCACCCCCTCATTGTAACATGAAAGGACCGGATTCGACAATATTCAACCCCCACCCCCACTATCAACATGCAACGTACCCCTCGTGGTCACTTTCCCGCCAACATTTCATTCCGAACTTCGCCGCACAATGATGAATGCAGCAACGAGTCATGCAAAGATGCAGCGATCCGAACAAAGAGGAAGAGGGTATAATTCAACTGAGAGATTGATTTGAAATGATGAGCAGAAGAATCTCGAAGGGAAATCCCCTTACGAAGACCACGAGAGCACTTCAATTGCCCGGTAAGAACTCATTGCACATCAAGATCGATCCGTACTCGTCGTTATTGTTTGCATGTTGCACAAAGGAATCCGTGCAAGTATGGTATCTAAATGACACGAAAAAAGACATGGAGAAGATTTCTGAACACGCCATGCATCCAAACCAAATTCGGTTCTCCTTTGCTCACATGGATTTCTCGAATGGGTTTGTGCTGCTCACAGGAAATTTCCGAGGAAAGCCAAAGCGCAAGGGCAAAAATGGTATCTTGTCCCAGGTGGAGCCTAATATTTTTGTAAAGGCCATTATCATTCGAAAGAAATCATCTTCCTCCACTTCATATGTATCACTCTGCGATGATTTGATTGATCTTGAGCTTCCCATTGCTGTTCAGATGTGGCAACAAGTAGGTGGCATATGCATAGTGGAATCCCTGAGCAGCACGGAAAACCTATGCTTTCTGGCGTCAGAACCAGAGGGAAATATTGTATTGTTGGAGTATCGTTTCCGGGTCTGTTCGGAAGATTCCAGGTGTGTGATATCGCAGACGGCAAAGAGGGCGAAACATGAGGAGACTCTTGAGAATGATTCGTCAAAACCCATGGAAATGGAGCAAATTGCATGCCATGTATTACCACCTGCCCATGGATTTGGGAAACTGAAACACCTTGCGGCCAATAGACAAGTGAACTCCTTGGCATGCGGGATGTTTGACAATGCGGTGAGTACGACCTTCGCATTATCGTTTTTGTGTAATATGCATCATCAGATCATCCTTTGGGACTTTGTTGCAAGACAACTGTTACACTGCATACCGAAAACTCAGATATGCAATCCGCTTTCTGATTTCCAGACTGTCGAATTGTTACCGAGCTTCATCTTTCGAGAAAACTCTGCGACTCAGAACCCAGAACAGGAAAATGACGTCTTCATGTCAATCAGCCTGGATTGCTCGCGCTGCAGAGGTTACAAGAGGGACAGTAAAGACGGACTTCACAGCCGCGAATCTGCGGCTTGGGTTTCACAATTATCTAAATTCACCTTGGATACGTGTGAAGAATCAAATCGAAACCAACCCACGATATGCATTGTATTGAGGCTCCAAAAAGGCACTGGAGTCATTGAAATATTGAGGAACTTCCTTCTATATCAACCGAACGGATTGGGAGAAGTAAGCATTGCAACATTTGGTTATTCCTTAACTAATGATAATCTAGAAGGCAGAATCATACAAAGCAGTCAATACCAAGGCAGTATCAATGTCATGTGATGGCATTTACACTGCAATAGCTTGCACGAATGGCGTGATTGGGCTTTGGAATGGACAGAATGCATCTATGGTGGCGCTATTTGGCCTGCAGTATTTCTAACTTGTTCACCATCTTTCCTCTGACCATCCCCGTTCACAGTGAGAAGAATTCTCCCATCTCCTCGCTGGCATTTTCGGAGAAGGTATGAACTTTGCAGTTTTGTGAACCAAAGAATCTGACCTCAACTTCAAAAGGCTTCTTGCCTGCTTGTAGCTCGACAAGATGGCTCGGTTGACATGTGGAAGTAAAAGCAGGTTGATATGATCGTCAAGTTTGTTTTATTTGTTTCACACCACATTCTCTTCGAATATCTAATCATCCTCTTATCAAACAGTCTGTATGACACGTGCCACAGTAAAAAGACATGTATTTTGCAAAATTTACATCAAATGCAAGCGCTGTAGGCCGTGCGATGCAGGCCATTCTTATAGTTCAAGCATTAATCACTTCTGATACTTCTGACCACCTCAGATCTCACATCGGTCGATCTGACATCGGTTGATATAATGCTCTCCACATGAATTGTTGGGACTGTCATGCTTTCGCATGTAATTGATCCAACTGATATCGGTTCACAATGAATCGCATCAACAGACTCCAAAGAGTAAGTTATCGAGGGTTCTGGCACCTTAGCATTCAAACTTTGCTGGGTTCGCTCTTGATCTTTTGCAGCTCCCATTGCATGTTCGCTTACTGCTACCGCTATAGTGCCATCAGGAAAGATCACCGTTGCCATGGCGCCTGGAGTCACAACCCTCGGCAGCTTTCGCTTCAGGTATATAGCACCCCACCCCTTCATTTCCACCCCCTTGGCTGTAGTGCCTGCACACCCCACCTCACCTCACCTTATTTTCTCGTCCCACTGCTTATCATCCAAACCCTACTAACAACCCCCCTGACCCTATTGTCTCCACTTCCCCACCATACCATGGCACACTACCCCACCCAATCCCAACAAATCGAAGCAAACTTCAGGTCTGCCTCAGGTGACAGCAACAGCTGACTCAGAGGGTTTTTAACTTAACTTTGAGTAAAGACTCAGAGTGACAGTAATTTGCCTGCACGGCCCGGTCCGAGACCGTCGGACGGTCACCGTAGGACCGGCGGGCCGCCCCGCGCCCCCCCCGTGCCGGGCCCCCTCCCGGCGGGCCGGGCTGCCCCGTGACCCCGGGGCCGGGCTGGTCGCACCGTGGCACTGCACTGAGGACCGGCCAGTGGCCACCCGCCCGGCCGCCACGGGGCCAGGCGCCGCCCCCCCGACGGTTGGCACAGCCCGGCCCCGGGTGACCGTACTCACCGGTCCGACCCGGTTCAAGTCACCGTCACGGTGACGGTTGCCCGCCCGGGCGCCCGGCGGAGAGCGGCCCCTCCGGGAGTCCGACACCGCGGTGCCCCGGAGTCCGACCCGGCGGGGCCCGAGTCCGACCCGGTTGAACCATGGCGGCCTGCCAACCGTTGAACGGGTCAGGGTGAATGAGATTATCAGGCCCCGGCCCGGTAATCCGCTCGGATACAAAGCTTCAGTCATCACCCATGAGTAAAAAAGCAAGTTGATATCTAAAGTTGTAGATATCACGGCATCAGCTGCATATCTTGACGGTGTATCAGTGACCAGCCTAGTAGGTCCGGGGCCAAACCAATACAAACTTTACTTATTACGTCGGAAGTAAACAGAAGGGTGACTTCCGTCTGTGGTAAGTTCGTCTACCAACTTTTTCAACGGGAGCCGCAAAGACTGCGCAATGGGACGGGCAAGAGCTTCCTACGCAAACAAGAGCCTCGGGATCCTGTTTGCTCGAGCTGTAAGTGCCTGATTGCAAGCTTATAGCTGAATCTCTTTGCCGAGCTCACCATGCTCTGTTGTACAGGTGACGGCAGACGTGCATGACGAGAGCAAGTTTCGATCGTCCTGCACTGTTGACCGAACCGGGAAGTTGTCTCTCTTCAAGGCGCTGTCTCTATTCATGCCATCAGCCATAAGGAATGAATGCAACCAAGTGGGCAGGAGAGGCCTCACGGTGGTGGAATACAACAAGTGTCTGGAGCAGAATGGTTTCCCAAAGGCAAGATCAAGAAGCCCATTCTTAGAGGATGTTGAAAATTCCCAGAGCAAACATGCTCCAGGTGTCTCGTTGGATTGTTCTTGTCTTCTGAAAACTGATTTTGAGTAGGAATCAAATATTTCTTTGTGGGCAAGCGATGGCTGAATCCTCGAGATTGCAATGATTTGAAGCTGCTAGATGCAGGATGGGAAACTCTGAAAGGCTTCTTTCCTTTGCAAGAACCTTCGACGCTAAAGGCAAAATTACTGCTCGTGTGCCAGCGCTTTCACGATGCATGGGAAGAGGTATGCGTGCAAGCCTTGGCTTCGAAGTCGTCGGAAATCGGAATGAACTCTGATTGTGATTCTGGATGTGAGCAAGGTCAGGACCAGGATCGTTCATTCCTACCATCATCATCCTCGATACCCAAATCGGACCGTCACTGCCAGAATCACAGACAGCATTGCGCGTCGGAATACACAACACTGAACCAAGGGACATGCCAAAGAACTGCTCATGAGGAGAACACTAACCCGAGTCACCGCATCCAACTTTGTGAAGCGAAGGCAGAATGGCCGGAGGCAGAAAGCAACGTCAATATCCAGAGTCCCAAAGACTACACAGGAGAGACTGAAGACAATGATGTTTATTTCCCAATGGTTCAGGAATTTTGTGAAGTAGGCTGTCAAATTTGTGCCATTAACATCATTCTGCCGTGCTGAATCACAAACAGTGCCTGGCAGTCACGGTTTTTGGTGGGACGATCCGCATGACTGAGGCATTTAGTAAATAATGTTGACATGTTACAATGTGAAGCAGGCTCAGCTTCCAAGTTCTGTGATCGGAAAGGGCCAGTGGCGATGATCGGACCGTCTATGGTACGGTATCAGTCACGGTAGGATATCCCGGCGATGCGGCCACAGCCGGGCGGCCCGGCCGCGCTCCGGTTGAAGTTCTCTTCCAGTTGCCACTCTGGGCCGACTCAGTCACTAGTCTGAGCACATTGAACCCGGCCCGGCACGACGGTGGGCCGCCGTGCGCAACTCCGAGGCTCAGTCGGACTTGCCCGGCGGCCGGGCCGCGGCCGGGCGGCCCGGCAGTACGGTACCGTACTACGGTACGGTAGTGACCCGGCAATCAAATTTCCCTGATGAGTGCCGGGATGTAACGGCTCCATCACGATGTGTAACTGTTCAAGAAGGGCGGGGAGAGAGGGGGTTATGCAGAATTGCGAGGGCGAGGGAGAATGAGGAGGGAGAATGAGAGTGAAGGAAGGGCAAGGATGAAGGAGAGGAGAGCAGAGAGACGGGGAGAAACATGGGAGGAGAAGGGGAGAAGGGGAGAAGGTGAGGAGGTGAGGAGGTGAGGGAGAGGAGGACGGGGAGAGGGTGGGAAATTCGAGAGAGACCGACGGCGATGGTAGAGGCAGAGTAGTGTCCAGGGAAAGATGAGGGATATCACGGATGGAATAGCAGATAGGGCAACTTGATACTGTGGAAGTGTAAAATGACCGATGATGAGGAGTGGTCAGGAGGACGGGTAAGGAGAGAGCTTGAGGGAGGAGATGTAGATTGAACCATGGGAACGTGGAGGATCAAGTAGAATTAATGGAAGAAGCCAAGATGGCAATGATGGTATCATTAGAATAGATTGGGGATATGGGTCATAAATGTAGAAAAGGAACAATGAGCACTAGGAAAGTAGGTGTCTACTTAAAAGGGAAATAATTCGTTTTCGATCGAACAACCTCAGTCTCTTTGGCCGTGTGGACAGCGAGAAGTTTGTTGATATGATGGTGTCCGATACGAACAACATTCGGCTTCCCAACAACTTATTCCTAGATTGCTTGAAATCGCTCCATCCATTTTCATCGTCACTCTTTGTCTTAACTCCCTGTCTCAGGTTGAATCACCATGGAGCATTGACAAAGCCCTGCTGCTGCTTCGCGTTGACAGAAATTCACTCCTAGCTCCTAGAGTTTGTCGCATATCATGGACGTGTACAACCAGCTGCAAGAGAAACTCAACGACATCACACACAGATTTGCACATGAAGCAAGGTGACTGCTTTCCTCCTGCCTCCCTCCCCTCCCCTCACTACCTCCCCCTCCCCCTCCCCCTCTCCGTCTCCGTCTCCGTCTCCCACAACCTTCGCTGCCTCGCCCTCCGTAACCTTCGTTCCTCCGCTTCAGGTACTTTCAGCTCTGTGCTCCACCTGAAGCGCTATCTGGGGAGGAAGTTCACGAGGCGCCGAGCAAGCCGCCGTTCGAGGAGACGAAGGAAAGTCTTCTTGAACGTGCCAAAACAGCGCGCATGCCATCGTAGCGCTCAACGTCCAGGTGACCGAGGGAGGGAGGCGGGAAGAGGCTAAGGGCATGCAAGGTGGAGCAGCTTCTTGGAACACTGCCAGCCGACGATGTAGGAGAGCAGGAGCAGCTGGCTGTGCTGGAAGAGCTCATACGTGAAAACAAAGAGGTGACTATTCTCCTCCCGCTCCCTTGCTGATGCGCTGCCCGTGCAGGCCGGGAATGCCATCCGGGAGGAGCGGGCTCGGGTCAAGGACCTCCTTGGGCACGTCCAGTGCGCCATGGTGGATGTGTGCGATCGGAGCGGACAGGGTGAAAGCCTCGCCTCCTGCGAGTTGTGGTTGCCCCGACCTCGTCCCGAGCTCGCAGCGCAGCCTCTGGTGAAGGCTGAAGAGATGGGTCCGCGATCTTTCTTGCCGTCCTCTGCGATGACAGTTGCCGTTGCAGATGGAGCGGGAGACAAGAGCGTGCCGGAAGCAGCGGGTAAGAATGATGCTGGCCTCCTGTCCCCTCTGACCTTGCAGTGGAAGGGAATGATGCGGCAAAGTCAGGAGAGGAGCAGACTAGCGCTCCTGTTGTCAAGATGGAGACGAGTGAATAAATTAGAGTTACAATATCATGCTGCTCCTGCCTCCTCCTCCTCCTCCTCCTCCTTCCTCTTTACCGGAGGCTCATGCACCTCCCACTCCTCCCCTCCTTCGTGCACCTCCTGCGCGCTGTCCGTCAAATTCGCCAGCTCAACTTCTGTTCCTCTTTGAGAGCCCTTGACCCAGTCAACGAGCGATCCCTTGCGCGCAGAGCTTCTCCGCCTCCCTCCTCCTCCTCGAGTTGCAAGCTCGATGCCACCCAACTCTGCGACTCAGTCATGTTCATGGCTGGCAGCAGCACCAAGGGATGCTCGCTGCCTTGCCTTGCTCTGACTCGACGGAAGGAGGGACGTAGCTTCCATGGAGAGAGCAGGTGCTCTTGTCGTCCTAGAGGAAGCTCAGCCTGAGGAACAGGAAGCAAGTTCGCATGCCATGAGTATCTCATGCGTGTTGACGTTGCCTGCCGTGTCTCTCCTCCTGTCCACAAGGTTGGCATGCTCGGACTCGACCCTCTTCCGTCACCTGTTGCATGTCTCGATCTTCTTGGGGAGAGTGAGAAGGTCGCGGATCAGCAGGAAGCCTCCTCCTCCACCCGTGCAGGCAAACATGATGACGTGGAGGCGAAAGTCTCCACAGTACTCTCTGATGCCAAGTGAAGCATCAGGCAGGGTAGAGCCGAGGACAAGGATACGAGGACGAGGAAGTGATGGGGAGGGAGGGAGGACAACAAGGTAGGGAGGGGGAGGGAGGGAGGACAACAAGATTGGGGGAAACGAGTGGGGGAAAGAGAAGGAAGGAGGGAGACGAGAGGAGGAAGGTGAGTATAGAACCTGTGTGCTCCTAGAATACCAAAGAAGAGCCAGAGGACCTAAAGATTAAAAGACAACGTGAATCATTCGCTTGACCCTCCTTCTCATGTTCCCCCCAAATCCCAGCTTCATCTCCACGTCGTTGTCATCATTACATCCTGCCTGCTGTCTTACTCCAAAACTCCATCACAACTATCTCCTTCTCCTCCTCCTCCTCCTCTTCCTCCTTCTCATCATCATCATTTCTCGGTTTGTAGACACGTACATAAGCTTCTAGCAAGCTGTATGGTTCCGCTGCTCCAACTTTCACGCGATGCTGCAGTTCACATTGTCAGACAAATTCTCAGAATGCCGGAAGATGAGAGAAGAGGATGAGAGAAGAGGAGGTCTGGTTTGTCAAGCGGGATGCAACAAGATCCTTAACATCTTCAACAGAGCGTCTCTCACGCGTCGCTTCTCCTACTCTCATCGAGGAGAACTCGCAAAAGGACCAACCTGACGACGATGAACAAACAGATGGACGGTCATTCTCCCCAGCAAGATGTAGCCAAGGAGGCCTGCCATGACCCACCCAGCAACATCAGCAGATGTTCCTAACACAACATGTCACAGTCTTCTCGTCTGTTTCAAACTTCAGGAGCCACCTGACTGTGCAGGAGCGAGTTGGCTCCTCGACCTGTCGGTGTAGAGCCGAACCAGGCAACCAGTCCCCGCATGGCCGTCGAGCGGGCAATCCGCGGCAGACAGGAAGAAATCAGCGCCGTTCATGGCGAGGGACACGATGGCAGAGCCGTTGCAGGGAAATGAAGCGGGAGTGGAGGGAGAGGAGGGAGTGGAGGGAGGAGGAGAAGCGAGAGAGGAGGGCAGAGGAAGAGGGAGAGGGAGGATGCAAATGTACAAGGAGAGCTCTGAAGGATCCACGTCCTGCGGGAGAGTCTGGCTCCATCGATCTATCCGTGGTTCAAAGGTTGCTGGACTTGTCAGACGGTACGGCATGAAAGACTGTTGGTCCACTTGACATGTGACTTCAAACTGACAGAGGGCCGACGAAGACGTCAGGAATCCACGTCCCAGCAGCGTTATGTTTGCAGAGAGGGAAGATTCCACCTGAGAGTGATGGTAATGAGTGTGAAAGAGGATTCGAGGAAGTGATGGTGAGTTTCAAAGGTGTTTCCAGCCGGACCTGTTGTGGTTGAATGGCGAAAAGGAGAGGTTGAGTGTAGAAGGTGAAATCAGGGAGTATAGTGACCTGTCAGTGTGCATGTCAAAGTTCGCAAACAAGATCGACAATTGGGCTCACAAAGTACGGGAGGTTGTTGATCAGGCTCGAGATTGCGAATTTACTCACACCTGCAATGAAGGGGGGATGAAAGAAGTGAAGGCGGTTGAGATGATGAGATGAAGAGAAGAGGAAGGTGAAATGTGGGGAACAATGTCAACGACAAGGATGGAAAAGAAAGACATAGAGGAGAAAGACTGAGAACCTGTCAGACGAGTCCAAGGAGTGATACAGGTGGCGAATGTGTTGTTGACAATGGTGAGAGGAGCAAATTTTGTAGACGACAACTGGAGCAGTCAGAGTGAGGGAAAGTTTGAGAGATAGATTGGCAGGAAAACTTCAATGAAGCAACGATGCAAGATGTAGAAAGACGCAATAAAAGACAGGAATCGAGGCAGGTCAAGACGCTTAGCACAGAAAAATATGTCAATATTTCTCTTTCACCTTATCCGCAAACTGCCACGAGCATTTGTAGTCTTTCAGGTTTGCGTTCATCTTTGCGATCTCTCCTTCGATCACAACCCTCGTCCCTCCTGAGTTAGGTCCCAGATGAGGGAAAACATTCTTAACCTGCCGAGCGAATCAAGGATGTTTGCAGCAAAACATCTTTCGTGATTGCAAGCATACATTGATGAAAGAATCCAAGATAGCCACAGATCCCAGTCTTGTCCCGACCAGAAAACCTTTCCCGCTATCAAATCTCACATCCTCGTCCTCGTTGCTCCTCCTCTCATAGAAAGCGCCTCTCAGGAAGATCCAGCTCGGGTTCCCCAAGACTCTGAGCAAGTATCACAATCAAAACTTGTAGAGAGCACAACAACAACAATACCTGACGACATCGGGAGAAGGTGCTGCCGTCCTTGTCTTGCCACAAGATTTCCTGTCACTTGCTTTAGAGCTCAACACGCTCTTGATCTGTCCCACCATGACCCGCTCGCGTCCAGCGGGACCGAGAAGATCTGCATCGATGGACCTTCATGGCAATCAGTCAGCATCCCCAACCTCTTCGGCTCCTCGTCCTCGTCCTTCCCGTCCTTCTCCTGGTCCTCGTCCTTGTCCTTCCCGTCCTTCTCCTGGTCCTTCTCCCGGTCCTGGTCCTTCCCGTCCCTCTCCTGGTCCTCGTCCTCGTCCTTCCCGTCCAAGTTCCCGTCCTCTTCCTCGTCTCGCTTCTCGTCCTTGTCCCTGCGGCACCCCCTTCCATCTCTCTACTAAGTCTTTCTCTTCCCGTTCATCTCTCCCTTCAAACACATTCTCCCCGAGTCTTGCTGTTTGATTTTCCTCACCAGGTGTGTCGGAATAGTCAAACGAGATGCATTTTCCATCTCTTCCGACAACAACAACATCTCCCGTATGATTCTCAATCTTTCTCGAGACGAGGTCGTGCTCGTTGCAGATTTCAACCTGATCACGCCGTCAACCTTGCAATCATGTGAAGACGTCAACAAACTTGAAGCACACGATCGAGAAGCGATGTCCCCTCGTACATGACATTTCCATTCTCGTCATCTGCGATGAATCAAATCATTGCTCTCAGAGTACTAGAACCAATGATTGTACATCGCTCCTCAAACAACCAACTGGCGGGAGCTGCCGAGAAAGTTACAATGATTCCAAGGTTTCAAGAAGAAATGATGTTATCATCATCACACACATACAGAGAATGCGCTTGTAAATTTCAAACGCAAGAAGACACCCTCTGATGTCACAAACAACTTCGAACAAACAGCTCACCTGCCCAATACCACACACTCCTCATCGGTTCTGCCGAGATCGCAACTCCATTGCTGACGTCAAGAGGAATTTGCTCGATACCTGAGAAGACAAGAGAGTCAAAACATCTCCCACAACATCATCTCAGTCCGCACAAGATGAGCCCTGAAAGCAACCAATGTCTGTCTGCGTCGCTTCTTGGAGCTTGAAGCCAACCATCTGCAGTCTGCACAAGGTAGTATGAGCAAGCGTGGCGATGGAGGGCTAGAAAGATAGCAGCAGGCATGACTTGATGTAAGAGCTGATGTTCTGACAGCAACACACCACCATATCACACCAACACGACAACACACAAGTCAAAGATCTCCAAGACGTCACCTGTAACGCATCAGGAAGGGCTGGCTCCAACAATGTGCTCCTGTCATGCCGTACGGCCCTTCGCAGCTCGCTTCAAGCAAGTGCTGCATACTGGCATCGCAAGAGTCCCAGATGCACGACGATATCCGCACATCCCGGCACCTTGGAATACAGTGTCATCACTATCGCCGCGGCTACCTCTTTCCCTCCGTACCTTGAGAGTGCAGGAAAACTTGTCAGCGTAAGGTGGCCGACGATGTTGGGAAAGCGATCCCTGGTTGAGCTCATCCTGTTCCCTTCGATCTGAGCAGCAACAGCAACACTGTCGAGCTTGAAGTCGAACGACATCGATTCGCAGAGGTATCGGCATCTGACCTCCACTGAAAGCACTACCTGTCTCAGAGTCCCCATTACTGCCCTCATGGCAGAAGGAGCATCCTGCTCTGTACAGTAGCCGTAGGGAGCAAGGAGCATGGAGCAGACGGTCCACGAAGACGCTGCCACATCCCTCCCCGCACTCGCATACCATAGCAAGTCCACCAGACTCGACGAGACCTGTGAAGTCGCCGCAAGCTGCGTACTGATGCTGCATCTTTCCCCAAGGAGAGTCAGTATTACTTTGCAGTCGATGTCGCCCGCCATGCACAGTTGAGGGATCTTGATCGTCATGTTCAGTCCCAAGCTCGAGCTCACGTTCTTCATAGCATTCAGTTGGAACACGACATCGTTGGACAAGATCAGGTACGATGGGTTATTGTTGCTGTTCACCGTGACCTGTCCTGCTGCAACGCCCGCATCGGGGAGAGCATTGAAAATCCTCCATCCGTCACTCCCTTCAAGGAACTCGGATATCCTCTGACTCTCTCCCCTCACCGCCTGGCTCACGATGAGCAGAACGCCGAATATCAGATAGGATTTCATTCCTCTTGTGTCTTACTCAGCTTCAGTTCACTCAGGGAAGAACAGAAGACTTCAATGCCCTTCCTCCAGCAGCAACTCCCCCCCCTCCTGCTCCTCCTGCTCCTCCTGCTCCTCCTGCTCCTTCTCTTTCCCTCCAACTACCATTCCTCCCCGATCGTCGAGGTACTTTCGGAGCATTTTTGAGTGATTTTTGAGGAGCAGTACCTGAGCGGGGATGAGGGGCAATCCAGGTGCTGACTGGCGCAAGGCAGTAGGGGGAAGGAGCACATGGGAGAGAGGGAGTGAGAAGAGAACAGGAGGAGGACAAGAGTTCAACATCAGACAGCAGCGACGTCGTGAGCAGGAGAAGACCGCTGGAAGGATCTCCCTGTAACGCGAGAGGAGGCGAGTTCTACCTGGGAGTAGGATCAAGATGGAAGGTTTCCTCTCTAATGCCCCTGAGGGACTTGCATCCGCGTCCAAGGTAGCTTGTTTCTCTCAGCGCCTGATCTATTAACACTTCGCTAAGATTCTAGATGCGATGCCGAAGAGAAGTCTCGAAAGATTGGTTGAGCGCGCAGCGGCTGATGGTGGATGCTGTTGACAACTTGGCAGGCGAATGAGATCTGCAGTATCGTCCTACAGAAGAAAGGATCTTTGTACGTGCCGTGTGGTAGATCCGATCCCCTTACATCTTGCGAAGGTCATCAAGCGCCTTAGCCGCGGAGATTGTCGCGGATCCCGAGCAGCAGGAGCTTGTCATGCAGGGTCCAGAAGGCAACCTTAACTAGTGTTTGCGTCCTAGTGACGTAGCAGAAGGTGTGAAGCGAGCGAACCACGCGATCAACGCGCTCTTGTACATCTACAGAGATGCGGTAAGTGCGCTGCATCAAAGGTTTGTCGCCATGACGAAACAACCGCAAGGCCGCCAAGCTTGCTTCGCCGGAAGTTTTCCGAACTGCACTTGTCGCTCGTTGTGACCTGAGGTGTCTTGTGCTTCCCTGTCGAGACTGAGCCTCACGTGTCTTCAGCCAAGACGCAAGCGCGATCTTGACGAGGGTGTTCGAACAGAAACATGCGCTGCTGGTCTCATCGGACAAGGTGATTCCTCACCCCAGTGCGAGCTTGTGTTGAGTTGCGCAGGTCAAGTCGTTCCTCTCCCTCGGCAAGCTGGTCAAGTTTGACTGGAAGTTGAGCTTTGCATCGGAGAGCAGCAGGTCTTGAGTGAGCGTCGATTCTAGGTGGGATGACGCCGGTTGCTACTGCAGTTGTGCTGCTCTGAATACACCAGTTGTGGTGCTTCATTTTCTTGTTTCAGACGAGAACTTTCAGGTCTTGAGGGAGGGCACGAGCTTGTCCTGGGTTCACTCAACGTTCTGTCTCAGGTCTCGAGTCACAGTTTGGAGTTGACGATCTCGCAATTCGAGGAGTTCGCGGTGAGCGTGCTGCAGATGAATTTCCCTTTACCTCTCTTCTTGCTAGTTTGAATGTCTTGCTGAATTCTGTTCGAACGTTTCACTGATTTCTGCTGTGATGTTTGATAGGGCACAATCCATGAAATTTGCTCTGTCGTCGAGACATTATAAGAATCCATAAAATACATTTCAATAGATCTCGCTGCTAAGCTGGTTCTTGAAAATTTACATCATCATCTGCCTCGCTTGAATTCTTTCTTGCACGTTCATGTCCACCATGCAGCTCATCTCTCCAGTGTTGCAGCGTCTTCAACGACATCTGGTGCGAGGATGCACACGTCCTGCATCTCAAGTCACAACAAAACCTCTCAGCCTCGCGGCTCACAGGCTCGCAGGCGCGATGGCATAAATCCTCAAGTCCTGGGTCTCTTCCGTCCTGACAAGAAACATCAAGAGAGCTTGACGTATGCTTACATACCATCTCGGTCTTGAAAAACAAGATTTGTTCATCTGCCTTACATGAAACGCAGGATCTCGTTCGAGCGAGGTAAAGAACGCGTCATGCTTCTCAGTTCTCGATTCGTAGGATATAAGGACAATCTGGTGAAATGTCAGATCTGAAGTCTCCCGTAATGCAGCGAACCACCGTCTCATGTCCAACGAGCGAGTGAAGCAAATCTCTCAGAGAAGAATGACTGTCTTGCTCGTAGACGACGTCAGATGCCAGGATCTTGTTCCCCCATGTCATTCCCAAACATCAACTTCGTCTCCTCTCACCCAGTCGAAAGGTTCCGAGAAACGTCTTGCGGCCTCTCGGTCGTCCCAGTCAAGCGCAGCTACATCAACAACATTCTCCATACTTGTGTTGAGATCAGCATTCTTGCTGCGGCACCTGTCAGCATGGCCGTGATATCGTTCGTGCTACGTCAGCTCACGACAAGTTTTCGAGATGATCGGATCTATCCGTCAAGGTGACAATGGCACCAAGCGAAGCCGCTGCCAGCCCCACGAATCCGCAGCTACGTGCGAGGTCATCGAGACAGATGCTCTCGTGTCTTGATCGTCTGCCTTACCCCGCACCCAACTCTAGCACTCTTCTCCCTCGAAAGCTCTCCATCCCTAATCGAGATGTCAGCGGAAAAGTAACTTCAGCTGCAGACATCGGGCAAGCAGCAAACACCAACAAGGACGGTAGACACACTCTTACCTAGCTGCGAGATAAGGTCCACAAGACAGTAGGCAGCGTCCCAGACTACACCTCCAGTCTTTAAAGTGCCTGACATGACAGCAAGTGAACCGTCCAGCTCTAACGTCAGACAGATCGACAGTCGTCATACCATCTCCTTTGCATGTAGGCTGACTCCCGTAAGACCTGAGCACATTCCATTACTTGCATGAGATCTTCTTTAAGAGCAACATACCTATCTTCGTGGATCTTAATCCGCACATGTGCATATTGACCAGAAAGGGGCAATTCTAATGTATGCTTGATAGTTTGATTCATCTCATACAACTAGCATTGTTCAAAAGAATGAGTCAGGAACAGAGGTGGTCGATACGGAGAAAGCAAATGTGTTTTTCATCACCCGATACAATGCCTTACATATCTCCTGAAACTTGCTAAATGATTTGGAATCTTCCTGTTCAAATCTCCCATAGAGAATTTCTGCTGAAATTCATGAAACGTTTCAAAGCAACAATCTGGCGAGATGTACCTGATGCTTGACAGCTACATGAAAGTTGCAGAAAATCAAGGAGAGTCCCTTCTTGGTCTATTTGGCTTAGAAATAATTTGTTTCTCGCTACTTCATCTTTCACTGCTGCTGCCAAAATCTACAAACTCTTCAGTTCGAGGCGACCATCTTGTGAATTTGCGCAAGGCACCTCATACGCTGCCAACCTATCTTGGTCGCACTGAAGAGCTCTCTTCAATTCCATCAATGCCAACGAAAGCTCGTATTGATCCAAGAGGCAAAGATTCTCCACAACCTTCCTCACACTTGTCAAGATGGGAGGGACCTAAGGAATGTTTCACCTTTGTTCTACTTAGCTTCTTCATATCTCCGATCGATTGCTTCAAGTCAGTCATTACTGTTGGATGGATATCAATGTCGAAATGCGATCAACTGGAATTATTCCGTCCATCTGATCCACATAATCCTTGCATCCGCAAAGTTCCATTTCTGTCGGTACCAAACAAGCTCATCAGTACAAGCACAAACTTTCTGAATCTCCCTTTCTCCCTCTCTGCTTCTGGTGTCGCTCACTTACATCGCTCGCTTACTTTGTATTCATTTCCTCCCCTTTCATTCCAAGTTTCCATGCCTGCCTGCCTGCCTGCCTGCCTGCCTGCCTGCCTGCCTGCCTGCCTGCCTGCCTGCCTGCCGCGATTGTGAAGCACTTCACCATGCTTCCATTTGCACTTCAAACAATGGATCAAAGCGCGACTCTTCAACAAACATGCATATCGAAGCACCAAGACGATGAATCGGCTCGCGTTCGTACTTCATGCTCGTAATGCGCTGCGCTTGCATCACTTTTCTGTCGGGGCTTCTAACCGAGGCGCGCCCATGCTGCATTGAAATGAGTAATACTCAACCCGGCACATCTCCAGTTCGGCGGGGCCCGGAGGTGAATTGATGTAACGTCTGGTAACGACCACAAGTAGGGTCATCCACCCACCATCGGAAGTTCCATTCGTACCCCCCACCCCCCTGATATCACCAACTCATAGATTGCCACCCGGGGTATTGAAAATGTCTGTCACTACCCCTAGTTCAATCACCTTGAACCCACCCTTTGCAAGGTACCTACCCTACCATATAGAACATTTCAACCTCGCTCCGACGCAGGGGTGAGCGGTACCCTTTGTACCACCCCCACCCCTTCGATTCATACTCCCCTCATCTTGACTTCTACCCTACCCTACCCCTGTGAAATCCTTATCTTCAAAGGACTACCCTCAGCACGTTTTCAAGAACTTCCAGTCATTATTATACCCCTCCCTTCGAACAAAAGGACAACCCCCACCCCCATATTCTCTTCCCCAACAGCTTTAACCCACCCGCGTTTGTGTAAGGAGTACCCACCCCACGCCCTTCCGCTTCCTCAACCCGCTCCCTCCGCTGTTCCTTGATGCACGATTATAATGTCCTTTACTCAATGTCCAATTCCCATGGCAGCTCCTGCCCCGCCTGCGTGTCTCCATGTCTTCTATAATGTTGCTTTCGCCGTATCTCCTTCTATGCAGAAAGCATGCTTGTTTGGGTAGACTACTTGCGATGATATCAGCGTTCGCTTTCTCGTTTTCATTCGCACCATCTTGATCTCGATTGGTAGCCTTCTCGGTCAATCACACCCTGATCTTTCAAAGCATCTATATTTCTATCTTATTCACCTAAGAATTTGAACAGTGTCATCGAATAACTCATTCTTTCTGTTTGATCCTACTGGCTAGATATGAAAATTTATGTGTTGCACTGTTTCTGATTCTCCACTTTCTTCATCGGCACTCGGTTTCTCATTGCGTTTCTATACTTTGTTTGAAAATTCAAATGTATTTACGGTATGTGAACTTGAACGCAATCGTTGTTTTATGCAGTGTTGATATTGGCAGTCTGCCCAAAGATGAATCAGCCATCGTACTGAGCCATCACGTTGCCTATGCCGTGCAAACAACCGTTCCTCTACGCAAGCCTCCCTTTCTTTATATTAATTTTTTGAATGCATGCACTCATTTCCCTCGCCTCAAACAAGCCTGAGATGTCTAGATGAATGCGAACATGTGGAAGGGTTTCTTGGTTTCCTTTTTAACTGCTTTTTCAGCCGCTGCGGGGAGTCTTGCATTTTGTAAAGTGTGAAGACTTTTGCACGCCGTCATTCCTGAGTGCTTTTCTGTTCGATGCTCGTCCAATATCTCTAGGTGATCCTTGGTGCTGCAGAATGTGCTCTTGAGTTGACATGGAGGGGTTGATCAGGAGTCAGCGGTACCTTCTTTTAAGCCAGGCAGCATGGAGTATCAGATTAAATTTTTGTTTGCGGATGCAAGCACCATCGAAAAGACATTTAACAGCAACATCAGTGTAGCTGAAGCCAAGACACAGCTGATAGAAGCATGGCCTGCGGGTGATATCCTGATTGTCTGATTTCTGCAGTTGATGTCTGTTGGCATTCATCTCAACTGTTTCTTGCAGAGAAGGACAAGATTTCTAGTATCAACGATCTGAAAATGATTTACAATGGCAAACTCTTAGAAAACGCCAAGACATTTGAAGGTTGTGAACAGCTCTGAGACGACCCAATTCAGTCACTTATCTGTGATTGCAGAGCTGAAAGTGCCTATGAACCAACAAGTTATTATGCATCTCCAGCCTAAACCTCCTGTCGCCAAGTTGCAACAACCCGTAGTCACACCAACCAAGCCGATCGAGCAAACAAGGTTTGTGATTTAGTTGTTGACTTGATGAATGTTTTCAACCTGACATTGTTCTGTCAAGATGTTGTATCATTCTATGATCATCAACTGTCAACATGATCCTGCTGAATGGAGGTGGAGATTGAATCTCTTGTTAAACTTTCGAATTTTCCAAGCTGGGATTATCACGGACAGTCAGTATCGCGGTTGTAGTAGTACACAGTAAACATTTAATCAAAGTTCCCGGCCGCCGTCATTCACGCAGGTGGCCAGTGGCACGCGTGACGGTGGTCACCCGGTGCCACGGTGGTCCAGCGGCATTGCTGGCAGACACAAGTCAGTGCCGGGCGGGCGGCCTAGGCTCGGGCCTTGCGCCGTCCGACCGGGACGGTCGGGCTGACCGTGGCCGCACTGCCCGATCCGATCCTCGGATTGATTTCAGTGTACAAGAAAGACGGTCACGAGGAGGGATGTGGGTACCGGGCGGTTGACAAGTTTGATGGACGATGAAGCGAAGGTGGGGAAGGAGGAGAGAAGGCGGATGCGAGAGAGGAGGGGGGGGGAGAGGAAGGTGGGGAAGGCAGAGGATGAGGGATCGGGGAGAGGAGGAGGGGGGAGAGGAGGGGGGAGAGGAGGGGGGAGAGGAGGAAGATAAGGGACGAGAGGTATAGAGGTGTTTAATTTGCATCCAAACACGCACTGGCAAAGCGCAGCCTTTGGAATCTTTCATATCGAGAACACGTGTCCAGATGTGTTGTGATCTTTGTTTTTGTTTTTTTTGGTATCATTTATGTCAGTGGGATGGACGTTGGTATTCGTTCTCACTTCCCCTCCAGCGTTTACTTCTCATCATATCGCGATATTCCAATCCTGGGGGAGCGGCTGAGAAGGGGAGAGGGATGAAATGGACATCTTTCATTGTTATAGTCTTCGATGCCATTATCGAAGGAGTCTTGAGATATGACTTCGCTCCTCTGCCCGTCGTCCTCAATATACTTGGAGAAAATCGTACCATGTGGATGAACGTTTCTCGGGAAGCTGTGAGGACTGCTTCCATGCGCTTTCTGAAGTCCTTCTGACACCTCCTCCACAGATGCTTGCTCTCGACGAGATGATCACAGACGGTCTTGTCTTCAAGGTCACAAACATGAGCATACTCATAGTTTCACCTGGTCACAGAGTTTGCAGGTTCGATCGATGATCGGCATCGGGATGGAGCCTGCTGTCTTATTGCAAATCACACCTGATGGGGAGGATCTCGTTGCTACATTCCCGAAAGAAGACCATGTTGCGATAGATCGCTTCTTGTCGCGCAACTCCGGTCAGTGATTGTTGTACCGAACTCCAAGGATATGTGATGTGATTGATCGCACTGATAGAAAAGGGAAGGCTGGAAGCAAGATACTCAGCTGAGAGAGGCTGTTTTGAGATCTGGACAGGCAACGGAATTTGTGAGACGTCGAACGTCACTAAGATTGTTGACATCAACTACGTCACCAGGTTCCCGATGATGTCTTGTCTTGCTGCAAGCTGACATCCTCTACTTGCCTTCCCCCTACAGCGGCTGGCTGCCTGCTTCATGTTTTCCCCTACCAGACTCATGGAGGCGCATGGTTGTTCTCCTCCTTCTCTTGCCCTCCCTCCTCCTTTCTGACTCCCACCCGTCGCTTCCGCCTTATCTGCCTCTTGCTCATGTTCTTCTCTTGTTTGAGTTCCTTATTTTCCCTTTCTCCCTCCCGTTTCTCGTCCACTCGTTGTCGCCTTGAATCGTTTCTTGCTGCTGCTGCTGCTGCTGCTGCTGCTGCTGCTGCTGCTGCTGCTGCTGCTGCTGCTGCTGCTGCTGCTGCTGCTGCTGCTGCTGCTGCTGCTGCTGCTGCTGCTGCTGCTGCTGCTGACTTGTTTTCAGGCTTCCCGGGCAAGTGAAGCGATGGCATCTGGGAAGGCACAGCAGCTGAAGGTGATAGGGACGAGAGAGATGCAATTGTTCTGATGTGTGAGAATGCAAGGAGCTTGTTGTTCACACGTCG